TAGATGAATCGCCGTGGTCCTGACTGTCGGGCGGCGTCGCAGTGCCTTCTCTAAGCTTTCACCATGTGCACGGGGCTGTGTCTTGGGAGCAAATCCGAATCTACGCTGACGGGTTACGCTCAGTCGTGGCTCTCTTCCAGCCGTAATGTGATTTGGTGACGTCGAGGCTCGAATGATCTCGCTCGCTCTTTTGGATGTTCTTCCGAAACCCGTCAAAAGATATTTATCAATGAGGGGGCTCAAGTTCGGTGACTCGAGAAGTACGCCGCCCACTTGGGTTGTTCCTTTTCTGCTTGACGTGACGAAGGAATAGAAACAGGGCGTTGCACTCGCGGGCAAGTCTCTGTGCCAATATGCACTTGTGTTACTGCGCCAAGTACTGTGGCAGCTTGGCACGGCTCGTGCCGTTACGCAAGCGTAGGAAGCGGGTCATGCCCGAGTCGCTGGCCGGGCGAAGTTATCTGTTTTTTTTTTTGTTTTTTTGTTTTCACTCCGCGTTCGCACCCAAAATGCCGCTAACCGACGGTGTCTCTTATGTAAGCAGAAATGGCATGGCGCATGTTCCTTTTTTCAACCCCCCCCCCCCCCCAATCCGTCCTTTCTGCCATTATGTAAGCGCGTTCCTTCCTGAAAGCGTGCTTGCCGGAATGGCTGCTGGAACTACTGGCATCGCTCTCCGAAAGAGATATGTTGTTTGTACGTACATGGCGCGTGGTGGTGGTGGTGATGGTAATGACATACATTAGCATCCTCTTTGAAACGGCGTGACAGCCAGCAGTCAATATTCCACTTTAATTCGTTTGAATCTTGCAATACGTGGCATCTTTAACTGTCTACACACACACAGACACTATATGGTCGCAACCGGTGCATCCAGTTTCTTATCTAATCTGGCTCCCAAGGACGCCGACACTCCGTGGACACTGTCGTGCTTTGCCGTGAGCGACCCTGCCCCGAGAAGATAGTTGTGTGCTTTGGTTTGACAGATTGGTGGCAGGGCGTGTCACGTTGCCCGGTGCGTGGACGGCGGCGTTGGCATTCTCCTGAGTGAGGCGCGTTCTCACGTGGAGTGCCGTTGGCATTATTAACGCCCGCGGTGTTTGTGCGCGAGAGCGCCGCAGGGGTTGGGAACGGAAGCGCCTTTTCAGCTCGGGTCTTGTGTGGTTTGCACGCCCCAAAGCAACGCGGGCCACGAGAGACGCCGTACTGGGAGGAGTTCTCCGGATAATTTCGACCCCCCCCCCCCCCCCCGGGGTTTGTTGAAGGTGCACGCGATTCGCCCGGTAATAAAACGCGTTTTTGAGCTAGTTGGTGTGTGGCCTGGTACAAGTAGCAAGGATAAGAGGACTAGTGCTGACTAACAGCGCTTGTGCTGTTCTTTCTTGTCCACGACGTGTTTTCTTGTTGTTTTTTATCCTTTCACATTTGCCAGATGTAGAGTACGCGTAGCATTGGGTGGGCCTTTCGGGGTTCTGTGCAGTAAGCAACGTCAGTCATCGCGATTTTTGTGGTCTGCGCTCGCGTGAGTGTTTGCATGCGTTTCTTTCTGTGTTGGCATTCTCGGCATTGATTTGGCAGGGTGATGCGAATAATCCTGAATAGGGGTCATGTATTGTAATGTTAGTGGTCTGTTGGTGTAGGCCGCGGCGGAATTTTTAAAAATAAGTGTTCGGCGAAACCGTTCTTAGCTGGTTCGTCGTGCTCACGTGCTAGCTTGTGGATGGATATCCAATCAATCGAACACTACGAAGTAGAGCTTTTTGCAATTCAAACAACGGCAAACCTAGACTGTGAACAAGGCTCCCGTGTGCGGAGCCGAAACGTCTTTTTTAAGTTTTGTGTATTTCACCTTGGTCGGCGTTTTTGTTTTTGTTATTTTGCACTATGTTTGTCCCCCGACCAGACGGGATTCCGTCGGACTCTTGACTATATAAACCTAGACTATTTTCCCGACGCTTCTGCCTTTCTGCTTTAAACTGTCGGTATGCGAAGATTCGCTGCACCTAACTGCTGATCTTACGAAAGCGATGTTTTGTGTAACAGCAGCCTGTCGCTACTGCGTGTATCTTGTGTCGCAATCTCCGGGAAAAAAAAAAGAGCCGTCATCGCGGCAGAATGTTTCCGATTCTGCGCCGGGTGGTTTCGTAATGGGCGATCGTAAACAAAGGAAGGATAGCCTCTTTATCTCAGCGCGGACGCAAATTGCCTTAGCCGAGAAAGTGGTGGTGGATCATTAGCTCTGTTTGCGAAGAAGCGAGGCATGCGGACCGTTTATACTGGCCAGATCTCGCGTTGTCATCTATCTGAGGGAGTTCCCCCCTTCCTCCTCCTCGCAAATCCGTTCTTTGTTGTTTGGTCGGCGTTGTGTATCTGCTGTTCCTCTCTTGTCTGCGCGGTGGTTCGTTTTCATTGCGACTGATATTTCACGCCGGGTTCCGCAAGGCCGTCCGAGGATCGAAGGACGGCCTGGACGAGTGCTCGAAAGAACTGATCGGCACGCAAAAAAAAAAAAGAAAAAGTTGACGGTGAGCAGGAAAAAAAAAACAGTTCAGTGCAGATGGGACGGCAACAAAGGCAAAGGAACTAAACACGAACGGACAACACTGCCGCTATCTGTTGCAAAAAGGGGGGTAGGGATGGGTGGGGGTAAAAAAAGCCAACAACGCCACAGCCGCACCGGCGGCTGGCCGCATCCGAAAATAGCGAATGGGCAGATAGATCATTTACGAGCGCGCTGCCGAGATACGGGAGTCCGAAGCGTGAACAGCAACAACGAAAAAAAAGTTTGGGACGAGTACTGCGAACAGGGAATGCTGATGGGTGTTTGTGCGTGCGCGCATGAATGCTTCGGGAGGAAGGGGTTACGTTGAGGTTTGGCTACGCAGTAACTTCGAACTCGGGAAGGGGAGCTCGCCGCTTTCGCGGTACGGTAACGGTCGAGAAAGCAAAAAATAAACAATAAGAATGGGATATAATAAATGCTCGCGCTGCTTGCCACGCGCCTGCGTCCGTTTCCTCCTCCGGAGCACGGAAGACCCACTTCTTTGTCGATATTTTTTTTTTCTTTCGTGCGTTCTTCTCTCTTCTGCATCAGTCTGTGCTCTTGTCGTGAGCGGCGGGCATGTCTTTCTTGCTCTTCTTTGCTTGCGTTCTACTGCCTTTTAGTTGTTTTTTTTATGACTCTGCTCGGGTATCTGTGTGTGTGCGCGCGCTCGCGCTGTGATTTTGTTTTGCTTCCTTGTGGTTGGCGCGTTCTTATGAGGGCGGAGCTCGACCGCTGAGCGGATACGGGCAGCTGGGTTGCTATTTTTTTTCGTGTTCGGCCACCGCGAGACGACGTCTGTGTGCCACGGGCGTGCGTGCCCTGAGCGTTTGAAGAATTCACCCCCCCCCCCCCCCTCCACACCGGCAGTAGCAGCAGCTCTCGATGACGTAATTGGGAAGTCGTTTCCTGATTGAGCATGCGGCGTTATGGGGCTTTCCCCGCTGCCGTCGTCGGTCGTGTTTATTATGCGCTTTTCTTCGTTTATTTTTTTAACCACGCCGTCTGTTTTGATCGGGACGGTTCGCTGGCCGCCGGACAGGTGTTTGAGCGATGGGAAAAGCGCGTCCACGCGTGAAATGGGTGAGTGCGCGCGCCCGTTTGTTTGTACTTGTGGGGGCGATGCTGCGCGCGGCGTAAGACATCAGCAAGAACTGCCAAAGTGCGATGCGCCTTGTCCACAGAAATGGGTTTAGAAATGGACGAGTGACAACAACAAATAATGGGAGACGTTCTCGACCTCTACGTTCGGACCGTCCTCACATTGCGTAAATTTAAATTGAATACACGCTGCGTCGTCGACGTGGACCGAACGTGCTACGTTTTCTTTTGGCGCATTCACGAGTTCCATGTTTTTTTGGAGATTGTGGAGCGTGACATCTCGGTGGAACCGGACCTCACGTATCTAGACCGATCGCCTAGAAAGAAATATTTCTCGTCTGTTGACTGACAGCTTGACGTAGACAGCGATAAAGCCTCTGGTTCCACGAGACGATCGAATCAAAAGCTCCGTGTGTGTGTGTGTGTGTGTGCATGTGTGTGTGTGTGTGTGTGTGTGTGTGGGTGTATGTGTGTAACACGACGGATTCATTCTGTGTGTTTGTGTCACTCAGACTTGACCCGTGGTTCGCATTGATCTCGACGGTGCGTGTTGAAACGCTTTCTTCGGGTGAGGTGGAAGGGATATAACGCAAAATTGGCTGTCAACACCCCACCCCCAATCAAGGCAGGCTTTAGTTAGAGCTGCTGTTGCAGATAAATTACCGAGAGTATTGCTGGGTGTTTGAAATATGCAGCCAATATTTCTCTGTGCTCCTCGCTTAGGGCATTTTATTTCACGGCTTTTTAAAATTTTTAGTATATTTTGTTGATGTCAGCTTTACTACTGCGCCATCTATTTACTGATTCTAGGTCTTCTCATGTATCGTACAGAAAACGTCCCAACTGTGCTTTTGCGGCTGTTTGCATTCTATCTTGTCGTTCATTTGCTCTGTTGTGTTCAAAAGCTTTTTTCGCATTCATAACTTCGTTTACGCCACCTACGTTCGACCATGTCAAACGTGAAGTCAATATTGTACAGCCAGCCGCTTTTACGTACAGTCGCGCCTAATATAAGTTGCAACATGCTGCTCGCGGTCATAGAGCAGTGCCGCCGCTGCGTGGTGGCGCCTACGTAGAAGACAACCAGTGACGTAAACTACTCCTTGATCATCCTCACGTTTACTGGTGTTTCAGTATAGGTTCAATCCATGCATGTCGTTCTGCAGCTTGTGCTGAGAACCAGGTTTGGTACAGTCAGCTGTCCATTCCTCTAGGTGGGTTGACGTAACCAGCCGGGCCGGAACCGACCCGCTAGCTTTTACGCGAGTCTGACGATATCGCTTTGAACGTGCAGGTGTTATGTGGAGAGGTGAGTGGTGGCTGTGAGACTGATGCGCGTTTCCTTCCTGTTCCGCAGGAGCTGAGCGGTGGCGGCTCCGAGGACGAGCACGGCGGGGGCGCCCGTAGCCCCGCAGCGGGCGCCGTGCGGGGCGCCGCGGGCACGCCGCCTGCACCCCAGCAGTCGCCGCTGCGGCCGACGCCCTCGCCGGGGCGCCTGGCCCCGGAGGGGGGACCCCAGCCACCGGGGGCGAGGTCCATGTCGCCCGCCATCGGTGAGACGTCGTTTTCGTGTCTTGCTTTTGCTGCTCGTATTCTACATAACAGGGGTACTCAGATGAGAGATACCGAAGTGTGGCCCGTCAATTGAGTATAGACTAAGGCACCTGCCATACAATATCTAGACCACAGCGATTGGACATTGTGACACGTAGACACTGAATACGAAAAAAAGGTATGTTCCATTCGAAAGAACAAGGTATCGTGAAAATAAATATCGTCGCTGTCCAGCATCACTACCTAGTAGTCAGTACAACTGAATGAGCTTGTACTGACTACGTAAAAGAGAATTCGATGAGAAACATACGAAGTCTGGCGCGTAGTTCGTACCAATAATTTTCTTTAGATTTGAATGTTGACGAATTTTCGGGAGGCTTAAGGAAAGGGATTTTAAGCGAAAAATTGTTTAATGTTCGCCTGAAGGCGCCCAAAATCCCAGATTGAGCACTGCGAAGCACTTAGTATGGATTCTTGGTGCTATCTGGCAGCGCGGATTTCATGAGGTCTTGCAGACGTCGCGTCCCTGTCAGGGTTTGTGTTTCGGTGTTTATGTGAAATTTTACACTGTCGATCAGCGTGTAAGAGTTCCGATCGAAACTCGTATTGTAGCGAGGTGAAGCGAGAAAAGCAATAGCCAAAATAGCTAAAAAAAGTTAACAATTGGTGGGTAGTTTGTGAATAGTTAATGTAGGATAGGGAATGTAGTGTCATTGCTATTTCTGGCTGAAACTGTTGTCTGAAAATTGCACTGTTAGCACGTGCGCACTTATTGACGAGCAGTACTTTTCCAATATTTGGTATTGCACCGCGCATCAGGCTTATTCAATAAATTCATTGGTTTGTTTATTCGGGCGCATATAAACAATTTACATTATTCTACGATCCGTTATTCTGAACGAATAATTCATCGGGTTTCTTCTCGTCGGCGTTGGCCGGCGACCTTCGAAGAGGTGAATCGCTTCGAACAATGCGGGCCTTTGGCGGACGAGGAAAAACGTGTGGCAGTTCAACTAGCGTAAAACCTGAGTAAGCGCGTTGCACGGGCACTCGGCGATTCCCGTTTGGCGAGTTCCCGCCGCTCCGTTTACCGATGTCGCCAGTGTTTGAGGTAAGCGTGCAGGGTTACCGCGGCACAGCACGAGTAGAATGATCGTAGGCAGATTCGCAAACTCTGGTGTGCCACGTGTGCGATACTTTATTTTTATTTATTTTTTTGCGGCGCTTCACCGGCTCCCTGTACGTCACGGCAGTTTAGGTACCCGTCGTCTGCAGCGAGTTCTGTAAGGTTGGTGTCCTAACCAGGCGTAGTTACGTTCCGACCCAGCGCAGAGGCGGTGCGGGGGAGAGGCATTCGCACCCTTGGCAAGGAGGTGGCGCCCCTCTCTTGCGCCCCGCTGGTGTCATAGCCTCATGTTCCCGAAACGTTTTAGCGTCATTGGGTTAATAATGTGATTAGTTGATTGTATCTGTTACTTTTTTAAGCCTTGTTCATTTTAACCCAGGTTTGAGCATTGCCTGCCTTGATTCGGCATGTATTGAGCGTTTCGCTGTGGGCGTGATCACACGTGTTTGAAACGCCGAGGCCCTGAAGTGCTCTGTATTTCAAAGTGAAGTACCGTCAGCGACAAGTTGGAATAGCGTTTCAAAGCAACGTAATGATTAGTAAACTTTTTAATAATTCACTCGTTTACTGTATGGCTGTACTCTTATGTGCTGTCGCAAGTTTGCGTAATGCCCAATCGGCGTTGATATGTTGTAGATCCATCTCACGAAATTTCTTGTTCGGCACCAGTGAATCATTAAGAAAAAGCGTGCGTAATTTCTTTCGGCGTTGGGGTCTCGGTGTACTTACTGGTTAATCAGAGCTTTGGATGAAGTGGCAGGTATATTCTCTAACGTAAGGTTGCGGTGCACTTTACGGCGCCCCGTTCGACCGAGTTTAGGGCCCGTCCGCCGTCTTTCTGGTCCAGACGCTGATAGGTATGTGGGGTTTAACGTCCCAAAACCACCATGTGATTATGAGATACGCCGTAGTGGAGGGCTCCAGAAATTTAGACCACCTGGGGTTAACGTGCACCCGAATGCACATGCGCCTACAACATTTCCGCCGCCATCGGAAATGCAGCCGGGATTCGATCCCGCGACCAGCGGGTCAGCAGCTGAATACCTTAGCCACTAGACCACCGCGGTGGGCATTCTTCGTATTCAGAATGTTGGCTGCTACGCTGGCTCTGTAAAATATACGGTGTTTTGAGATCACGTGGCGCCGTTCGTGGCGCTATGCGGGCAACCAATTGGGAAGCGTTACTGCAACGCTAATGCATGCGCCAACTTAGAGAGCACTGCGAGGCAGCGGCGACGTAGCTTCCAGGCACAAAGAAGAAGCCCGAAGGGACACATCTGACAGACGTATTATATTGGAGTGGGAAACACGTCTAAACAGGCTATGCTATACGCTGTATTGACCACCGCGCGTGTGTGAACGAACCAGCGGCGCTCTTCTTTCTAGCGGGCTTCGTTTTTCCTGCTCGCAGTAGGCAGGTTCGCTTTTGTTTTACGGGGCGACAGTTCGATTTTCCGTGCTTCCTGCGCGCCTTTTACACACGAGACGGACGGACGGGGGGCGGTTCCCGCCAGTAGATTCTCCTCTGCCTCCCCCAACGGCTGCTATTTTCCGGGTAGAAGGGAATGTCGTTTTCTTTTTTTTTTATGATCTTGTGCCGAGCGTTAAGTATGCCGTCGCGTTGAGGACAGCGAGGTCTCGATCTCGCAACCATCCTCCTCCGAATCTCGTTGGGCGTCGCATTGCCTCCGTTCTTTTTCTTAGCGTCGGGCCGTAAACATTGCGATCCGTGCGCCGGAAGACGAGGGTAGACGATACACGACGCATATGGGGAAAAGGAGAGACCGTCAACAAAACTGGTGGTTCTCGATAGGGTGTAATTGATTTGCCGGAAAAACGGGAAGGGGGGCGGGGAGGAAATCCTCCGGAGTCGGATGATTTCTGGGACTCCTTCCTCTCTCTCCTCCGTTCGCACCGAACGAGAAAAAAAATCCTGGGCGCTGGTGTCTTTTCTAGCTTGCTGCGGCGGCGGCGGCGCTCTCCTTTTCCGCCCCGCTGCTCCCCGTGGCAGCAGCAGCTGCCATTCGGCGAAGAGCGGCAGCCGTTCCGTGTCTCGCCTCGGTGGCCGCAGGTCGCTTCTTGCGTCCCCTCTTCTTCCCCTTCCTCTGACGTCTTCGCCGTGGCACGCCTGGGAAGAAGGCGTCGTATTCGTTCTGCTGTTGCTGCATCGCTCTCGGGCCTGTCCTCCTTCCCCCAGCGCTGCCTTCTTATCGGCCATCCGGATGCGAGCTGGCGTTGCCTCCTCCTCCTAGCCCGTGGGAACACGGCCGAAAGGAGGGGTGGCCGTGCTCAGCACGCCGGGTGCAGCCGTCGTCGGTGGCGTGCACGCGCCCGACCGACCGTCTGTCTCTCCCCGTGCACTTCTGGCGAGGCAGCGGTCGCGAACAAATGTGCACACCATCGAGCGTGCGAGGCACAATGTCACTGCTAGGGGAAGTTATACGATACTTTTTTTATTAGGGACTACGTGTCCGCGGGAATGATGTCTCTATTCTATCGCGACCAGCTTGTGGATGAGCTCGATTATGGGTTTTGTTGCCGCCTTGGACGAGTCGGTCAAGTAGCGCGGAAAACGAAAAAAAAAAAAAACAGCAGCAGCTAAGCCACGTTTCACCTGTTTTCACGTTGCCCAATGTCGGCCCTGTAAGCATAACGGACGCAAACGGTGTTCTCATTTGCGTTCGTCTGCTTGTGTCCGGGTTAAACCAACGGCTCCTTTATTAAGATGCCTGACGAATGGCTCGTGTGTGAGTCGCGCCCTGCCTTCAGTTTTGAGCGTGGCGCTCGCGGCCGACACTTTTATCTCGGCGTTTTTTACTCGTGGCCCCTAGCGGCGCGTCAGTCGAGAGATGTTCGATATCTGCAACTATACACTACTCTTTCGAAGGCTATGCAAAATGCCGAGTTGTTGCAACGTCCTCCACTAGTGACGCTAAAAGACCGACAATAATCGACAACAAAGGGGGAAAGGGTGTGGCAGTTGTTTTTGTTCACACGCGGCAGGCATCTAAATAGAGGAGGCGTTGGTTAAACCTTGTGCCATTTCAGTAAAAGTTGCGTAACGTCAGGCGCTTGGAGTGCATCGTAAAACGCGTCTTTTTCCCATATGCATTCACGCTCGGCGCACGTGGTGTGCAGAGTCGAGCCGAGTCGACGTGCGGCGGATCTGTGTGGCCTTGCTCGTATCTAGTTCGCTGGCGGCGGCGCGAGTTCTTCCAAGAGATCGGCGGCTGCCATCTCCCGGGTCTTTCTGGCAGCCGTCCGCGGTGGTCTGCGCGGGGTACGCGCCTGTGACCCGAGGGGGGCACGGAGCCGGTCCCGGCTGTTTGCAATTCAGCGACGCGACTCGAGGAAAACAGAAAAGGGTTCGCCGCCTTGCGAATCCCGTCGTAGTTGGCGCTCCGACCGAGGCAGTTCTAGAAACGTTGGCTCCGTTCTGCCTGCGCCGCCGGCTAGGTTTTTCCCCGGCTGCCGGTGACTGGCTCGCTTGACGTGTTCGCTGTGTTGGTTTTCTCTCCATAACGCCTCCTCGTCTACTGCGTTTCCAAATATTTTGCCCGCGCTTGGAAAAATTTTCGCCGAACGCATTTGTCAGTGTGCCAGATAGTTCTCGCTAAATCGCACCGCACTCGCCTTCGTGAGGGCGTTTGTGTGTGCGATAGAAAGGAGGTTGGTATGAGGAAGCGTTCTAGTGAATTAACATGCATTAGCATTCCACCGGGAGGTGCAATGGTTATTGTTGGTAAGAGAAAAGTGGTGCGGCCCATAAAAAGAGCAGCGCCATCGGGAACGGAGCGTAAGAATACAGCGTGCCTGTATGAAAAACGTGGCTGCGAGATCGCCCGTACTCGCTGCTAGTTTTCATCGACGGAGCGTTAGTTTGGTTGAGGAGAGAGCTGAGCGTTTTCTTCTCTGAGAATCCGTGCAGCCGAAGTAGACAAGGCCGGCCCTCTTCCTCGAGAAGCACGGACTGCTGCGCGAATCGGTAGCTTCCTTCGACGCTGGTGGTGCGCGAAAAGAGTGATAGCACTCGGGGAAGGAAACAAAATGCAACGCCCTCTTCCTCGGAGAAGCCCTCCAAGGTAGCTTTGTCGACAAAGGCTGCTCTCTTGTTTCCGATGAGCACTCTGTGTCCGCGTGATTTGCCTCGAAATTGCCGAACGCTGGGTGCTTTGCAATCCCTATCGTAAAAACACAAAAAACGTCTCGTGTCCAAACACGAAAGCAAAACAATGGTGACAGTAAGAAAGAACTCTGTCAACCTTGCTCGCGCACATGTACCGATTTCGCTCGTCTTATGAATTTGTATGGCTTTTCTGTATTTTGACTAGATAGTCACGTCCGTAACAGCTCGTAGCTGGCGTGGTTTCTGTTTCCCGTTTACTTCGTTTCAATATTATTCGCATATACGAGCTGCTTCACTAAATGGTTTTTCACTTTTGAAACTTCCGCCAGTCGACGGCGAAAAGCACGTTCGCCTATTTAAGGCAGCCCTATAGTTTGCCTGTTAGTGTACCGCATTCTTGTCGTTTCTTTGCGGGGAAGCTGGGTAATCTCATCTTTTGCGTCCCCCTCGAAAAGGGACGCTAACGTGCCCCGCTCGTCTTCCTTCGCACGGGCTCGCCGTCGTGGTGCGCCATCTCTCTTGGCTCGAGGAGAGCGTCGCGCGCCGCCACAATGAGCGTCATCGTCTGCTGCTCTTTCATTGGAGTTTCGGCGTCGACAAATTGCAACTCCGACAGCACGTCGGAACGCGACGTCCTTTTCTTCGACATCGTTTCGCTTCTCTTCGTCGTCATGCCCGCACGCCGAGGGCGCTATCGCCGACGCCCCGCGGCCAAGCGTCCCCGTGGTGCGACGACGCCGCCAGCTCGCAGGAGACGCCGGGCCCGCTCTCCTTCCGCCGCCACTGCAGGCAAGTTCGCCTCTTCGAAGGGAACGGCGTAGATAGCACCGTGCGTGGCTGCAAGTTATCGCAAGCGTCGAGGGCGTGATGTCCGTTCCCGACCACGGCGGCCGCATGAATAAAAGGATTATCAGTGTTAAAGGGGTCGTGAAAATGTCGCTTACAAGGACAATTGCGGCACCATCGGCAGCCACACGCGCTAACTAGGTGACATCAGCCCGACTCACGCAAAAATAAATATTTGGGAGGTGAAACAGCCCTTAGAACGGGCGTCCGCCGGCGTCCAGGTAACGTTATTATTTATGTCGTGGGTATTAGTTATTATTCTGAGGAAAATTTAATATCTGCTCCTAAAACGCAAGTGGCTGCTCTAAGCTAGCATTTTTTCTGCTCTAAACACACTTAAGCTGCTCCAAAGCAGTACGTTTCATGCTCCAAAAAGTAGGTCACTTCCGTCACTGGACAGGGCATCGTTCGTAGCTCGGAGTGGTGCCCTAGGGTCCTCCAGAACGGCATGTTTGCACACGTGTTTAGTTCGTGTTACTTGAACTTTTAACAAACAGTAAGTATCAGTGTATGTGTGTCAAAGTGCTTCTTGGAATTAACGGCGCGCCACGTGGAGATGGATGGTGGGAACGAGCAGCAAAGGGGCGATATGCGTGTCTAAAATGAGGCTGCTGTCGAGTGGAAAGGTTGTCATCATTTCAGTTTTGTTTTGGCGCATATTTTATTTGTTCGATCGAATAGTCCTCGGATTGAATATGGAACTTTGTACGCCAACATTGTTCCCCCGCCCTCTCTTGACTGGAAAATGTGCAGCACGTCCGTGTGCCAAACTAACTTGCCAGCATACTGGCAAGTTACTTTTTCGTAGTGATTATTACTCTCTCCTCTTCAGCCTGCCTCGGGACGACTGGTGCGCGAACTGATACACGGCGAGCGCACGCCTCAGGGAATGGCATGGCAAAGCTGGTCGAAAGGGGGGGTTGGGGGGGGGGGGGCGGCGGCTGGGCTTTCGTCCCAAGCAAAAGTTCTTTCCTTTGGAGCTCACGTCCCTATGTGGGATAGATCACACTACCCACTTGTCCTTTGTATATGACAACAGCGCACAGAAGAGGGCAATTCCTAGGGCACATCGATTTAATCCATCTCTGCAATGCCAGGTTGGGGAATGCTATAAAAATCAGGTCTTTAATTCTTTACCTCCCGCCTCTCATCTTTCTTGTATTTGAGCACAATGTACGTATCATTTTTTGGAACACTCCAGGCTGATGCTAAGACATTCAGGTGCCTCATCGCTTCTTCACCACAGGAAGCTATGTTCGCTGAAGTCTTGTCACGCATAGCCCCCCCCCCCCCCCCCCCCCCCAACTTCTTTTTTCGTTTCCCGTTCTTCAGCTCCCCTCGTTTAAGGGGATATGCTAGTCGAAGACACTTTTTTTTTTAAATATTCACCCTAGAGCAATGGAACTTTGATCTGTTTGTAGAACTTCTTACGCTGACTTCAAAAATATAATTAGTTTTCTTGCATGTTGCATACCTTTAGCACTGCAACATGACAGTCAGAACCTTAACTCTTTCCCACACCCCTTTTTTTCATCGCTTAACCTATACAATTTTTACCATTCATAGTTCATAACGTTTCAAATAAAGTGTAGAATGTAAGTAACTAATACGAATATGTCATAGACGTGGGAAAGTCCATATTTCTCCTACCCTAGTAAACATTTTACATAGAATTCTGTATTACATATAATATAGATGTTGAAATTTAAATTAGATAATTGCATTTCTCATACTTTAAAAGAATTCGAATCCCGGCTGCGGCGGCTGCATTTCCGATGGAGGCGGAAATGTTGTAGGCCCGTGTGCTCAGATTTGGGTGCACGTTAAAGAACCCCAGGTGGTCAAAATTTCCGGAGCCCTCCACTACGGCGTCTCTCATAATCATATGGTGGTTTTGGGACGTTAAACCCTACAAATCAATCAATACTTTAAAAGAAATTTGGGGAAAATTTTATGCAGATCAGAAAAATGAGTTTTAAAGTTAAAATTGAACTTTTACTCATGAAAGATGTCATTAAATGCGATGAAATTTGCGCACCTATAAGAGCAATCCTTCTTGTAGTGGCCACTGCCACGAAAATACGCCAGCACCATGAGTTTGTCTTTCTCGGCTTTTTCGAGCTGACTCCTCACAGACAGGGCCATGAAACGCATGTGAAACTTCTTCCGCTCCATCTGGCAGAGCTTTGTGCCAGCTGCAAGCTAGGAAGAAGTTCGACTGGACTGCGAAATCTAAACTAAGTCCAGTGTCGAATGATACAACAGTGCTGATGCCATTTTGTGGCTATGTTAGTGCCAACGTACCGCTGTACATAATGTCAATGTTGTCCCCTCTAGCTTCCGCCACTGTGAGCTCCTTCGATCTCACAATATTGGCGCTGACACCATCGATGGGCTTTCCGGCTGATGGCTGGGAACGACTTTTAATGCATTGGCTTTGGCAAGCCAATAACTGGCACAAATCGGACCAGCTGCTTGTAGCCCATTCCTGCAGAGTGCGCCACCACAGTAGCTTTCACATGCTAGCTATGGCTTTATTCATAACCGAGATAAACGCACGCGAAAAGCATTGTTCAGCTGTGCTGCTCGACAAGGTAAGGACGCCGCAAGTAGGCTTCACAGCATATACAGGCGTGAAGTGCGCAATGGCAGTCCCCGATCTGTACCACGTGATTTAAAAGCCAGTCGCTGCGCTCGAAAATGCGGCAAAAGCATTCTTTTTTATTATTTCTTGCGCCGCATCAGCGCGGGCAGTCGTTACTTGAAAAGTGAGGCTTGGCTCTTCGTCTTACGCGAGCAGCAGCGCATAATCGCATAATCGGCGGCAAGGTGCTCGAAAACTGCTCACTTTCGGCCTTCTAACAGCCACCTTCTGCTCTTTAGACACAGTATTGAAGCATTTTCAGTTGAGTCTCGACATATATATATATTTTTCAGAACAGAAGAGGTACAAATACCAAACGGGTGAAAAAAAAAAAAAAACTAATTTTTAAGAAAACTCATTTTTTGACACACATCTCCCCACAAAATCTCCAGTTCTGCGCAGTCTCCCTCTTCCTTGTGTAAGGTGTACGTTTTTATCCAAAAATTTGTGTCATTGAGGTGGTTTATGCTGTGGGTTTGTTTGATGTGTGCCTATAGAGTCTCATTTTTGAACCGAGTGTTGCTTGTTCGATTGCCTGTGCAGGTTCACAGTCAAACATTCCTGTGCCTCCTCGACCCTCATCAAGTCAGTCTGAGAGCAGTGCGCCAAATCATCTTTCTCAACCACAGCTGCCTCAGCAAGGTGGGTGCTAGTTATGCGTCTCGGCCGGGTTGCTCTAAAGGAAGTGGTAAATGTTGCCGTTAAGGTTTGCAGTAAATAATTCCGTTACTGTAATTTAAAAAATGGGGTACTTTCATTACACACAGAGAAGCTTGATGAGCCATGTATGTAAAAATGAGAAGTAACTTGTTTGGCTGACATTTATGGATATGTCAGCAATCCAAGCTGCTGCAGGGTGCCTGATTGTTTTTACTAGAAAGGAAAATTAAACAAGAGGTGGGCCAATGCTAACTTGGTAAATTGAACAATAAAAACAGTGAACAGATTCTGACCCCCATCGTTTGAGGCTCGGCATGGGAGACAGTGGTAAAACACCGCTAGATAGCTGCTTAAAATTACTAACCTGTACATGATATTTCTAATGCTGCATTATGTTTGAAAGTGGCCTTTCTCACTCTTGATAAATAAAAAGAATAGAACGGGTCCTCATTCCTTCTCCGTTTATTTATTCCCTTTAATGGGTGAGAAACTTGTAATTCAATGCATATGATTTAATCATTTTTGCAATCTTTGGTGTTGTGTGGCTTTTCTACTGAAATGTCTTTTGTTGGCTTTTTTCTTCACTTGCCAACAAGCTAGCTTAACAGCACTGGCATGTTGTGACAACGAATTACGCACAGTAATCATGGGATTCAAAGGAACTGAGCATGTTACTCCTTGCCTCTACCCAGGGTACAACCAACAAATGCAGGCATCAATGTATGCAACCAAGATGCATCAAGGAATCATGTCGTCATCCTATCCTGGTCCCCACTATCCCCAAAGTAAGCTGTTGCTCTGTGTCCGGTTGAGTGCTTGAAATTCTGTGTCAGGGTGTTGTTCAAGTTCCTGGCTGTCTGTTCTGTGAACAGTATGTTTATGATTGGCATTTTTCTTTGGTTAATTATGTGCTTTAGGAATCGTGTGCTGTATCACAAGTTCATAAAACCTCAAAGACCAACAGTTGCATTAAATAAAACATTAGCTGAGCTGCAGTTCATTTGTGGGACAATTTCTGTGTATGAAGCAAACCTTGTCCTATCTGTGTGAGTGGGTACCAACCAGCTTTTGATTACTGTGGAAACAAGAAGATAGTGTTTTTGGACTGTTATGAGCTCAATGGTCATGGCACGAAGCACTAGGCTAACACATGAACGAGGGTTTATTGACATAAATGGGTGCTAAGAAAGGCTCTGAAGTGTGAACATAAGGCTGCCTGTTATACCGGCAACAGATAGAGAAATGATGTCAGACCCGTCACACGCATGCGCACTTCTGCCTGCTCCACACTGCACGCAGGCCCAGCCCACCCACCCTTCCTAACATAAATACACTGACATACGTGCACTGACAAAGCAGCTTATAGTGCTTTGTGTGCCAGCGTATGCATGCTCAAAGCAACATGCTTTGTTCTACCCTTCTCCAGGCAACTACCCTAGGCAGCAAGGTGGCCTGGGTGCCATGCCTGGCTATGGTCCCCCTCAGGGTCCCGCCGGCTACCCGGCCGGGCGGATGGGCACGCAGGGTGGCTACCCGTATGGCAACTCGCAGTACGGTGGCTACGGAGGTGCCAACAGCCTGATGCCTCCCCCACCGGGTCCGCAATACCCAAAGGCGGCGGGTGCAGCCTCCACGATGGGGGCGGTGCCCTCGCAGGCTCCTGGCGGACCTACGCGTCCCATGTACCTGCGTCAACACCTTCAGCAGAAGATGTACGGCTACAGCAGCCCCATGACTCCACCAGGCGGGGACGGGGCTTCGCCATCTCCGTCGGAAGGCGGTCCCCCTCCCCCTGGCGGGGGTCCCATGCCACCCGGCGCCTGCTACTCGCAGTGTCCACCAGCACCTATGAGTGAGTGGCATTCTAAATGAACACTCCTCTTCAGCTGCTTTGGCATGCATTGTACTCCACGGCACCATCAGTCTGTCCTTCCTTGCCCGATTTCACGTAGGAGGCGGCTTTTGTTTGCTGCAGAAATTCTGTTACTTGTGTGGTTGAATGGGTTGATTAGTGCCCAGTGAGACCAAGGCTTTTTTGACAGTAGCCTTTTCCTCTTTGTGAATATTAACCAGCTTCAATCTTGGGCACACTGACATGCAGATGCACACATTGCCTGTAAAATAAGCATTAATAAATAATCTGTGAGTGAAATGAAATAACCCGTACTGGTGCACTGTTGCACTTGGTGTAGAATTATCACTCGATAGTGCAGTCAGTCCTCTGTTGGAACATCAGAAATTGGAACCCTGCCTAGAATCTTGAGGGTGGTTTTCTTTTTTTTTTCCCCAATAAGATAAGACTGCTAATCATCTGCGTGTTGTTACACCTAAGGGACAGATGCAGTGCAATCAGCATCGCAAGACCCCCCCCCCCCCTTTTTTTAAGCTTGTGTGGGTTTTTAGCAAACAGTTCAAAAAAGAAAACTGACACAGGGGTAAAAAAAAAAGAACAAGCCTCTGTGTCCATCTTGTTTTTTGTGGACTATGACCTTTTCCTCCCACTGAAATGCAAAAAAAGGCCCCTTACGCCATGAAAGCTCACATCAAAGAAAAGTTAATTTGTATTTCCGAGAATAGCCCTGCTCAGCGAACGGCAAAATATTCATTGTTATGTTTACCGGGGTTTCACAGGCAGAGGGTGGAAATATGTCCTGACTTTGACATTCTGGCAGACCAAGCTTGTCGATCTAATGGTCCTTGAATCGGCGTGCGATTGAGGCTTGTGCAAAAGGAATGCTGTTTCAAATCTTAAATTTGGATTTGCAATCAGTTGCCGGGGAGCTATAGCTTGTGAATTTTCAGACATTCTAATATATTGACAAATGTGGGGATTGTAATAGTTTTGTGAAAGCTTGTGAATTTGAAAGCATGTCCAAAAAATTGTCAGTTGATTGCTCACTGCTGTTAACGTCATCATATTTGTACCTTGTAGCCTTTGACTTTAATTCTTGAACTTGTTGGTTGCTTCTGGCCACGATAGTCTGGTGAATTGCTTATCAAAAAGTGGCGGTAGTGGCTGCTGTGGCTTCATTTTTGATGAGTACAATTTCACTTCTAGGTGGTCAAAATTTCTATAGCCCTCCACTACAGCATCTCTCAGAGTCGCATCGCGCTTTTGGGATGTGAAACTACAGCAAATATCATTACCGTTTGTGGGGTCTCGGCGAGGCGAACGCGCGCACCGCCACGCCACGCTCTCGGAGTGAACGTACACAGTGGACACGATCGGTACCAAGCACACCACATACATACATTTATTAACTAATTTAGACGACGATATCGTCCGCCGAATGATACAACAATTTCAATTAACACTAAACCATACAAACAACATAACGCAGGGACGCACTAAACACACAATAACGTAATAAACACACACTAACACACTCAACACACTAGCACATACCCAAAACGGCGTCGCCAACGCCTGACTTTTCACGTGGGACCCCGGCGCGAAGCCCGCGGTGCCGAGCACCGGGGACCCGCGCTACAGACAACCGTTCGCGGCAGCCGCCACGCGCAGAAGAGGCTCGCTCAACGCTCGCCCACCACCAAGGCCCGCCTTCCGCCAGGGGCCACCACCGGCGCTGCCACTCTACCAACAGTGGTACTCAGAGCGAACCCAACGCCATCTATCGCCCGGTGGTGGTCACCACCGAAATAACGCCCTGGGGCGAGACACGTGCGCCACGCGGCGCAGACAACTTTACAGGGGGGGTGTCAGCACCCCCACATTCCCCCAACCTTAAATCAAACCATATCCCGAAATCAGAAATTAGCTACACAAGCTTTAACAAAAAAATGATATCGCACGACCATAATGTCCTTGCACCACGACACCGCCGCTGGTCGACACTGCTGCACTCTCCGGCTAGACTTCACCTCAGTACCGGCCCCGCAACAGCAACGTTGCCGTCGGCGCGACGATCCGTCGCTAGCGCCGACACGTCTTCCAGTTGCGACCAGCACTCACGAGGGCGCCGGACTGCAGGCAGTTGCGCAGGTCCCAGGCATCTTCATCGCCCGAACTCACGACCGCATTCCTGGCCAGCGACGCTGACGATGCGCAGGACAGCCGGCCGTGGATGACATCCCTCCCGCTGAATACATCAACAAAAAACAAAACTCGAAAGAAACAAAGGAGCGCGGCCCAGGGGAGGGAGCTTCAGGCTTTTCGGCCACGTGGTACGGTGGTTAGTACTGCTAGCTAATACATCGGTGGCGGCCGAGACGCCCATCAAAATAAAAACAAAAATCACTTTTCCTAACTCGTGCTCACAAGAAAAAAAAGTGAGGGAAGCAGAACGCAACACCTCAACGCTACGATCCACCTAGTTGTGCCACGTGCGACAGGCGGCTGCGCAGAGCCTTAGGCCTAATGAGTCGCTCGGCAACAACCGGCATCCACCCAGCACCCAGCCTAGGCGCAGGAGAGGCAGCCGCGAGGAGACGTCCACTCTGTGAGGTGGCCCTATCGCTCGCCGCACACAGCAGCTTACCGAGCGATCGGCGTCCACCGCCCCGGGCGGTGTCACGACGCCCCGGCGTCGAGCCGCAATACAAGTCAGCAACGACGCCCGGCTCCCTGAGCCCAAAGAGATAGAAGCAGCTATTTACAGAAAATCGGACCACCCACGAGGCTTCCGTACTCACTCGCTTCGGGCCTGGCCTACAAACCACGTGCTCTAGGCCTTGCTCACCCCAGGATGCGGACCGCATGGCTCTCGTCCTAATTCAACAACGTTTTTGAAAACTAACAACAAAAAATAAGAACACTTGCGAGCAAAAAAAAAAAAAAAAGAAAGTCAACCTGCCGACAAATTGAAACACGTTACAAAACCAATCCCCTCGCTTCTCAACAAAGCACACCACCGACGCTAGCAAAGAAGTCCCCCCTAGGCCTACTCTACTCCGGCTCTAACAAAATCCCTGTACCGAACCGCAAGAACTGTCGTCCGACACTCCAAGAGCTCCACGTTGGGCAGCCAGTGTGGGGTCTCGGCGAGGCGAACGCGCGCACCGCCACGCCACGTTCTTGGAGTGACAGACACAGCAGACGCGGTCGGTACAAAGCACACAACAGCATACATTTATTAACTAATTTAGACGACGATATCGTCCGCCGAATGATACACCAATTTCAACTAACACGCTACCATACAAACAACATAACCCAGTGACACACTAAACACACAATAACATGATAAACACACAATAACATGATAAACACACACTAACACACTCAACACGCTAGCACATACCCAAGACGGCGTCGCCAACGCCTGACTTTCCACGTGGGACCCCGGCGCGAAGCCCGCGGTGCCGAGCACCGGGGACCCGCGCTACAGACAACCGTTCGCGGCAGCCGCCACGCGCAGAAGACCCTCGCTCAACGCTCGCCCACCACCAAGGCCCGCCTTCCGCCAGGGGCCACCACCGGCGCTGCCACTCTACCAACAGCGGTACTCAGAGCGAACACAACGCCATCTATCGCCCGGTGGTGGTCACCACCGAAATAACGCCCTGGGGCGAGACACGTGCGCCACGCGGCGCAGACAACTTTACAGGGGGGGTGTCAGCACCCCCACACGTTTTGTTGCTGCATTTGAGCAGACTGTGTGGCCAGGATCTCTATAGTGTCTCCTTCTGCCTTATGTTTTGCAGGTGGGCCCTCCTCGCTGTTGTCGCAGCAGGGAGGTGTTGGAGGTAGCCCTCCCGTAACGGGTCCCGGCCAGGATGGGGGACGATCCCAACTTGCACCCCCACCCACAGTGTTGGACGAGGGGAGCCAGGCATCCAATGCGTCCGCCTCGTCCTCGCTGCCCGAGGAGCACCTTGGGCCGGCCGACAAGGGGAGCAGCAGCAAGCAGCCGCCCATGTCGCACCCGCCCACGCCCAACACCCTACCCTCTCCCGGGGGTGCCTCCATGTCCTCCTTCCACGACGAATTCGAGAGCGTCTCGAGCCCCAGTTGGCCACGGACGCCAGCGAGCCCAGTGAGTGGCCGTCCCAGATCCCAGGTCCCGTCCATCACCACGTTTTCTGTGCGAGGGTGGCCATCTCTGTGTCTTGTTGGAGGGAGGCCTTGCAATTGAGTTCTTGATATGCAGACTTGTGTGCAGATAGGTTCATTCTTAACTGGAATGTTCAGGTATCTGCTCCCTTGCATGTGACTGTTGCCTGTAGCAGCTTGGCTCGTACATAACGCGTCATAGTAGTGGAAAATTAGCTCCATCTTTCGTGTGTCGTGAGTGGCTGATCATGGCTGAAGATGAGCATGGGCAGTGCATTTAATGCGAAGGCAACATCTGGTCATTAAGAATAAAGGACTAGATTCCAATATAAGGCAGAAAGTTGTATAGGCCTTGTATAGGGACAACTGTAGCCTTGGCAAGCACGGGTTCGAGTTGAGTGGTGAAACATGGGAGAGGCCTTTGTTCTGCGGACAGGCGAGGAATTCGCCTGTCCGCTGCTTATGTGCGTCCACTTAGCAATGAACCTACCTGCATCTTACGACTGACTGGCGGAAATCGGTGTTGGCTTGCACTAAATAACTATTTCAGTTTTGTGTGTGTGTCTGAATTTTAATAGTGTGTGAATGCCTGCATTTCTTGTAACTGGAGGGGCAACTTGCAGAGTTTTGTTTATGTGTAGATGAATGTAGCAGAAAACATTTTGATAAGTTCCAGACTCATTGAAGTCCTTGTTTTTATTTTTTAATCGTTAGTCTCATGAAAGTCTCAGTGGCACAGTAATGTTAGACAGGGATCTGTGTATGCTACTAAGAGCTAGCATATAGGCTCGCAGCAAAAAAAGGGGGGGGGCGTTAAAATACAACTTTATTTGAAAACACGGCACTATTGGGCTAACTGTGAACTGTGATCTATTGGCCTATTTTTCTGAATCTCCATTCTTGTACCAATTTTACTGGGAGCAAAATTGTGTGCATTTTATGTTGAAATAAAGCTGTAGTAGTTTGTAGTCTTCCTTAGAGTAAAGGTATTCTGCAGTTGTATGTATCATTAATAATTCATTATTAATATTAAACACACACTGTATATTAGTGAGTTCTCTTAATCTGATTCTGCTTTCTTCCATAGGTTGTGAATAGCCAAGTATACGAACATCATATTATTAAGGTATGTGGCTGTTTTATTATTTTTTTCTCTTGACACTTTTTTTCTTGGAATATGCTGAAATTATTATGCCCATTATTTGGTCGTCCAGACTTGAACCGAAGCTTCCTTCTTTCTGCAAACACACGGTTCACACCTCTTTTCTTCGTTTTGGAACTTGCACGGATTAAAGAAAGAGAGATTGTTTGGCACTTCATTTTTCGTATGTGCCAGCAGAATCGGGGCATCGAGTGCTTCTATTTGGGGCTGCATGTGACTATTCTTGGCCAAATGTGCCGACGATTGCTTTTCTCTGTGCTTGCAGCGGCCAGACGGCCTCCTGAAACTGTACGACATGTCGGAAGACCCTGAGCGGAGGGCCTTCCTGGACAAGCTGATAGTGTACAACGACGAGCGTGGTACTCCCATCACCCAGTGCCCAACCATCAGCAAACAGCCCCTGGACTTGTTTCGCCTCTACCTCATCGTCAAGGATCGAGGTGGCTTCGTGGAAGTGAGTGTCGTCTCTTGTCTATTCTCTTTGTGGGCGGCAAATAGTAGTGCTGAATGGGCCGTGCTCTCCTCCTCGTTCTAGGTAACGAAGGCAAAGCATTGGAAGGATGTGGCTGGTGTGCTGGGCATCGGGGCCTCCTCTAGTGCTGCGTACACCCTGCGTAAGCAGTACATCAAGCATCTGCTGCCGTTCGAGTGCAAGTTTGACCGAGGGGGCATCGACCCTCAGCCCATTATCAGCCAGCTGGAGTCTGCCTCCCGAAAGAAGACCAAGGGAACCATGTCGCCTTCGGGTGCGTCTCTTGCCCGCTTTTCTTGTGCCTCCACGGGGGCGCTCCTTGGGCCCCGCGCATGTGGTAGTGCGAGAAAGGCGGTGTGTGAGAGTGCTGCCCCCATTTTCGGCATTGTCGTAGGTGCGAGTCAAGATTATGGGCCACCTGCCCAGACGATGGAGAGCTACCCGACCAGTGGAGGCTACCACCCTGGGGCACCCTACCCCCCGAGTGGTCCCCCCAGCATGATGGGGGCTTCCGACTACCCGTGCCCACCGGGCTACCCACCTTCGAACCACGTGGGTGGTGGCTGTGAGCCGGACGGTTATCCTCCTTCGGAGGAAGGGCCCTACCCAGGGGAGGGGTATCCCCCTCCGCACGGCTACCCCCAGGCACCTCCCTATGCGGCGGCCAGCCAGGCCAGTCTGAGTGGGGGCTCCTGTGGCTATGCGGGGCCTGGTGGTGATCAGTATGGGCCTGCTGCCCCCGAGGGCTACCCCCACGAGGGTGGCTACAATGGCAGAGACCCCTACAGCAGCAGTGGCTACCCCATGCGGCCGCAGGCAGGGGCACCGCCCTACCCACCCCAATACCAGGGAAGCCACTACGACAGGGAAAGGTGTGGTGGAATTCTTTGGCCTTGTTTGATTCGGGGGCTGTCCTCACTTTGGAAATGAAACATCACTTGCTGTAGCAGGGCTACTTCGTGTAGCAGGTGTTACGTCACACGAAGAATGATAGGGAGTGTACTGTCGAGCCTTGCTACACTGAAACTGACAAGGTGAGGATGAAGTTTCGTTGAAGCGAGAATATTGTTGTAGTGAAATCGAAAAAATATATATATATAGCTGACCTCGGTAAGCTAGCTAAAGAAGGGAACCCTTATTCCCCAAAATCAAAAAGTGTCGGTCGCTTCCTTTTTTTTCACAGCAGCGTCATGATGCGATTCTCACACATGCATGGCAAGGCCATGTTGGAAGGCATGCTGAAACAACGACCTTTTGTGATTGAACCTTACAGTTGCACTGCAGTCGATCCCGAATATATCGAACTCGAAGGGGATCGCGAAATAGTTCGATATTGGAAATATAAAATATGTCCATTTAATGGGGGATGTGCCTTTTAAAACTAACCTTCTTGTTTCTTTTTGGATGTTGATCAAAATCGGTACACTCTAAAGATGGCCTCGCAGTGCTTTCAGAAAAATTTCAAGGCGATACAAAAACTAAGGAAGTACAAATTATTTCTTTATTGAACTTCGTGGAGGGGCTGGTAGTTTCTGTATAAACGCGTGTAAGGGCCGCACTTTTTGTTCAAGAAATGAGGGCCAATTTTTCAGGGTGCAGCCCATACACAGAACTTTTTTTTTTTTTTGGTGAACCAAAAACAACGTACCAGTTAGCGAACGAAGAGCGTTAATTGCAGTATGCCGCGTGTGCGCTTAATCGTCATCACTCGACGAGTCCTCTAACTCGGAGTCCGAGATGGTGTGTTGCGGAGCACCATCGTTCCACAAACAATCATCTTCGGTGCCTTCCAGGCTGTTAGATATCCCAGTGACCTTAAAACTTCGGGACACAATGTCCGTCGACACCGAGCCCAACAATACCCAACCGAGAACAGTAGCAAGCGGTGCCCTCTTCAGCCGTCCGGTAGGCGTCTGCTTATGGTTGCCAGTTGCCATCCATTCCGTGTAGAGTCTTCGGAACTCAAGTTTGAACGGTCGATTCACGCTCACATCCAATGGTTGTAACATTCCTGTGAGGCCGCCTGGAATCACGGCCATGTCTGTGCCGACACGGCGCAGCTGCTCCTTCACCTTATCGGTAAGGTGGCCGCGGAAACTATCCAACACTAAAAGTGAATGTTTGGCCAACAAAGCTCCCGGTCTGTTCTGCTTTTCACCCAGTCACTTTTTCACTTTTCACCCAGTCAAGCACCAAATCATCATCCATTCCTTCTCTTGGGCTCTAGCTATAATGCCCTTTGGGGAAAACTTCGTTGGGAATTCTTTTTCTTTTCAAAACAACGTACGGAGGTAGCTTCCGCCCGTCTGCAGTCACACAAAGCATCACGGTGCAGCGTTGGCGCTGCGCGCCAACGCTGCACCGTGACCACCGGCGCGTGCAACGCTGCACCGTGACCACCAGCGCGTGCGGACCACCGGCGCTGCGCGCCGGTGGTCCGCACGGCAACACTCTTCTTGCCTTTTGCTTCGACTGTGTAGTTCTCGGGAGAGTCAAACCACAAAGGAGTTTGATCAGTGTTCGCTATTTGTGACAACAAATAATTGTGCTGATGGCGCAGGCAGATGACATGCTTGTGAAAACTAAGCACCTTGTCGATATAGTCTTCTGGCAGCCGCTGGCACAGCGTGGTCCTTCGCCGAAAGGAGAGTCCCTTCCTTTTCAGAAACCTTCGCACCCAGTCAGCACTGGCCTTGAAATCCCCGGCCGGTATATTTTTCGCACGTGCCAAGGCTAGTGCCTTCATGCGCAGCATGTCCGTAGTGAGCGCAAAGCCATCGTTCCACGCCTCAGTCACATAGCGGAGCAACTCCTCTTCCAAATCAGGATACTTGCACTGTTTTCCTCGGAAAGCGCGCTTTTTGGTGTTGGTGTTCTGCAAGGCTTTCTTCTGAGCGCACCAATGTCGAACACACTTCTCGTCGACGTCGAATTTTCTGCCGGCGGCCCGTTTCCTGTGCTCAAGAGCAAACTCAATCACCTTCAACTTGTAGCCTGCTGTATAGCTATTCAGCTGCTTGCCCATCGTGCCAAAACGTAAACCTCCCGCAGAAAACTAGCTAGAGTCCCAGAGTCATTAAACAGCGCGCAAAACTTGAGCAGTGGTTGCAGAGATATCTGTTCTACGAGCTGAGTGTAAAGCCAAAAAAACAGTATTGAGAAAACTGCGTTTGAAGTTTTTCTTTCTCTCCACGTCAATTGTGATCTTAGGTTTGTCTTGTGATATTTGACTTCTCAGGCATCTGGCTTCTGCCCAGTGTGCCTTTGTTGCCTACATATATTTTTTTTTTTCATAACCTTTTTCTTTTTATCTACAAAGAACAAGTATGCATTTCGAACCAAGTTCTCTGTATGAAGGATTGGTGTGGCAAGCTTGACAGTGGGATCTGCTGCTGATGCGTAAAATGCTCGTTCGCAATTCCAAGGAGCTAGCGAGTGATGTGCTTCATTGCTTCCGAAGAAGCACGTTGCCACGAGTGCTCTAGCGCGGCGTTTTTGCCCGTAAAGTTCATCTCGCCGTCAGCAAAGTTAGGCCTAAAGACAACTCTGATGACGCACCACGCTCATAGACTGTACCCGCCTGTTTGTAGTAATCTGATCGTGAATCCGCTTACTGCTTAGTTGCTTGCAAAAAAGCACGTCGTCACGAGTGCGCTAGCGGGTTGTTCTTTTCCGCAGTCTCGCCGTCAGTGGAGTTTGGCCTAAAGACGACTCCGATGACGTGCCATGTTTTGTACACAGCGCGTCCGCTCGCGATGACGCACCATGCTTGTAGACTGCACCTGCTCCTAGAAATCTGATTGTGCGTCCGTTTACAGCTCCTAACTAAAGCGTAATTGTATCCTAAGTGATCGTCAAGTCGTGAATACATCACGAAGTAGAGAGTTTTGACAGCCATATCCTCGCGACACACAAGCAGCAGACAACGATCTCCCGGATCAATCATCGGGCCAATGTCAAGGCAAGCTGTGGCAACATGGCGGCCACAGCCAATCAAGGGCCTCGAAATGACCTTGAAATGTTTGCTTTTTGTGCACTTGTTTTTAAAGGTAGGAGCCGGCTGAGGCGGGAAATTTGAATGTGCAGAAACACTCTTTCTGATGAGCCCTAGAAGATGGCTCCCGGCCGTGCTCTTGCGAAGCACTTCTGCGTGGTTTTGAGTGTAGATATTGAGTATAGAGATATTGAGTGTAGATTTGAGTATAGAGATTTGAGTGTAGATATAAAAGGGTTCCAGAACCTGAAAACTTGATTTTTAAGAAATCGATTTTTTTTTTCCATTTTTCACCATATCAAAGCTGCTTACCCTCTTAAAGGATACCTTGAAGCGCTGCGAGTCTCCGAACAGTTTCCAAAGACTGTGCTAAGCTTCCGCTTGCCGACTTTCCCAGAATATCCAAAGAAAAGCATGAAATTCACCGCACTTTATTTGGCACGAAAAAAGTCTGTGAACTTGGCTTTCTTCTTTGTCTGAGCCATTAAATTCATGATTCCATCTCAAAATTGTTAAGGCTTTCCACATAGGCAAACCCAGCGCCTTCTGTAGGGCCACAACAGCGGCGAATAAGGCTAAATGCCGACGCAAGCTCTGCGGCGGTACAGTGTTGCGTCGAGGCGTCGTCAGCATTATCGTCGCTGCTCTGGTCGGCCTCATCGGCACTGGTGACGTCGGCCACGATTTCTGCATCGGTGCGGTCTTGCACATCATCATCAGTGCTGACAAAATCGCTCGCTGTGGCCCCATCAGCGATGGCACCGGGAAACGCACAAAGCTTGCAAAATTCTCGAGGCACTCGTATGTCGTCGTGTGCTGTGACATCGCCGACGCTGCCAAAGTCGTCAGGGGAAGCTAGAAGGCCAGATTTACCGAAGCAGTTCACGATCGTGGCTTGTTTGATGCCACTCCACGCGCCGGTTACCATTTTGTATCACTCCTAGGATATCGGTTTTCATTTCGACCCCCAACCGAAAGTTGATCAGGAGCCTCTGCACCAGATGTCGCCTGTAGCCAACCTTGGAAGATTTGATGATGCCTTGGTCGAGAGGCTGCAGCCTCGATGTAGTGTTGGGCGGCAAAAACTTGACTATGATTCTTTTGAGGTGGCTGACCACATGATGTGCTGAACAGTGGTCTACAAGAAGACAAACATTGAAGTCCGCCTTCTCCAATTCCGCATCCCGTGCACGCATCCGTTCGAAAAAGAGGTCCTGCGTCATCTATGTTTTTTTTTTGTTTTTTTTTTTTTTTTTTTTTTTTTGTTTTTTTTTTTTGTTGAACGCTTAGCGGACCGAAAGGCTCTTCGCATTCTTGAAGCATCACGACGACTTGTTCTTGCCGATAACGAACAGACGCAGCTTGCAAGAGCCATTCATGTTTGTCGCAAGCAAGATCGAGATGCGCACTAGGCTCATTTTTCCTCCATAACAAGAGGTCCCTTTAAGATTCAAAGTCTTGTTCGGCAACATTTCCCAAAAGAGTGCCATTTCATTAGCGTTGTATATATCCAATAGCGAGAAGCTGTCTCCTATGTTTGGCCACTCTTCGGACAGCCACTTCTTTATGTCCTGGCTCTTTGTCGTGCCGCTTTCGCCGGAGAGGGTCTTCCCAACGATGCCATAGTGAGTCTTGAAGCGTTCCTGCCAACAGGTGCCACCAGTAAAGTCGTCCACCCCAAGGCTACAGCGAACTACTTCACCTTTTCCAGCAGCATCGGGCCATCAACGGGAATGTTTTTTGCCGTAGTTTCCAAAAACCAGGCGTACAGCGCTTTTTAAACGTTGTCATACGCAGGAGCATGCACGTGACAAGCCTTAGAATGGCACGACTGGGCAGCCTTTGCCTTTACATCGGCTTTGTTCTGGAGAATCGTGCTCAATGTGCTCCGAGGAATGCCAAAATCTTCTGCGACTGACGGCTTCTGCTCTCCTGCCTTCACTCGCCGAATGGTGTCGGCTTTGGTCCCCTAGTCTAAGTTTCTAGTCTTCGCTTCCATGGCTACCAGGGCCAAGAGGTGCCGCACACAGGTCAAACATGAGAGCAGTGAGTCCACGACAGACCACTGAGCCAGCACAACAAAAAAAAAAAAAAAAAAGAAGAGCAACGATTGCAACGAAGTCCTACTTCTGTTGAAACATGCTCTCGGCGGTGGCAATACCTCTAGGGCTTTTCTAAACAAGCAGCAAAAAAAAAAAAAAGAAAACAAAAAATCGCCAGAGGTGCACAACTCCCAAATGCATGGCCTTCGAGATCTGAAATAGCCACTGTTGCATGGAGTGCCGATGGAAACGGTTCTCAAAGGCTAAGTTTTTGGGGACTGCATGCCAGAGTGCGGGGTCGGCTTGAGAATGCACATCGTGCCGAAGCCGCCAGTTCAGACTATCGTGCAAGTTTTATTTGGTGCTTCAAGGTGTTGGCATACTTATTAAAAAAACGCTTTACTACACCTTACATGCTGAATACCGTAGCAAACAAACAGGTGCGTTCGCAAGCGCTGTGCAAACTTATTGAAGCAACACAATCACATTCTCAACACGTGCGCACACGATAAGTGTCAGTAACTGTTTTGATAGGGGACTGCATAAGTGCTGTGTGCACTTGTGGAAGCAACGCGATCACATTTTCGACGCGCACACGAAAAGGATCCCAACTCTCTTGAAATGAGGTCGTTGTAGTGAAGTATTCAGTATAGCAGGATTTGATTGTATAACAACTGTCATTTTGGGTATTTCGATGTTCTCCTACAGTTCTTTTGTATGTTTAGCATGTTGAGCTGCATGCATGTTTTTGAGGACATTCCTGTTTTTGCCAGGAGTTTAAGTTGTGTTTGTAATGTAATGGAGGCATTGACGGGGTGTATGGAAATCTTGCTAGAGAAGGCCAAGGTGTTTCACTCATGTGTCAATAACAGTGTCATCAGTTGAGCTGGCCACACAATGTATCTACAGTGATCCTGTATGTCTGTAACTCGATCTGCAAAAAGTTAGTAATACTTAGCAAAGTTTGAAGAACTACATCAGTAGAGGTCGAGGTGATGAAGGTATTCAGTGGATGTCTGTAACTCGATCTGCAAAAAGTTAGTAATACTTAGCAAAGTTTGAAGAACTACATCAGAATCTTAGAGGTCGAGGTGATGAAGGTATTTAGTGGGAAACAAAAAAATAAAGCAAATGTGTCTGTGTTGTGGATGGGGAATAAAAACATGCTTGTGTGCTCATCGTGCTTCACGGGTATTAGCATGTGGCAGCATTATGTGGTGTGTTCCCTTTCATCTTGATATTGTGTGAATAACAAGCTAATCGACCGATGTCTTTTCCAGGTACGAGCAGCAACAGCAAGCACAGCAGCAGCAGCAACAGCCACAGCAGCCGCAGCAGCAACAGCAGGGGGCGTCTGGGGGAGCTCCGCCATCGTCTCAACCAGGTGCAACGGCAGTGCCTCCGCGATCCCAGCCACCCCCGGCATCTCAGATGGGTGCCGGACCCCCAAGCGCCGCGGAGCCGCTGTACCAGTACGGCTCCTCCGCGGCAGCCACGGGGCCCGTGCCCCCATCGCAAGCAGCAGCGGCAGCAGGCAGCTACCAGAGCAGGCCCTACCCGCCGGGCCCACAGACCACGCCGGGCCAGGCACCGCCTTACTCCACGCCATCCCCCCAGGGGGCCGCCCCACCACCACCTCAGGGAAGCACCTCGGAACCCTACCCTCCAACCAGAGGTCCTCCAGATCAGGCCTATCAGGTGAGCTCCTTAGTGTGCCTTCTTTGCTACGTTAGCAAATATCACTCCTGTTCCCTCTTGCTTACCCGGCACGTAGTGCCAGCTCCCCTATTTTGCGGAATATGCAGCATCTTGAGGCTATCGGCCATGGCCTCTCTGATTGTCTCACCATCGCACCGTTGCCAAAACTAATTCTTTAGTAGCACCTGGTGTCCTTGCTAGGCCAGTTTGCTGGGGAGGGATAATAGAAATGGGTCTGTGCTGGTGCTTTGACAACACCACGAACCAGTTGCACTCTTGAAGATACTTTACCAACGTCATAATTTGCAGGCACTTGAAGACAATTACAGCGTTCACTTATGATCTGTAACTTTGGTTTGACTCCTACATTGCATAAAACCTGCTCGGCTTTCTTTTTATATCAAGTTTGAGTGGTGGTGAAGCATAGCCCTGAAGATGGCACACTTTGGGCCACATTTTTTTTATCCCCCGCCCCCTTTTTTCTGAAAGCAGCTAAGTCTCCTCATGAAGTGATTCCTGAAAATTTATCAAAAGTTAGAAAAGAATATATATATATATATATATATATATATATATATTTTGCCAATGCCTTTAGATTCCTGTGGATATCCCCTTCAGCAGCAGCAGCATATACAATTTTACATATCAAAATTTAGGGGCACGTCACACACTAGATTTATTCAAATGGCTTGAAATGCTGTGTGCACATATGTGCAGCCTTTCTGAGTGGACACGTATTAGTCATTTAGCTTCTTATGCTGCGTAATGCAGCAGAAGATCACTTTGGTGGCAGCAATACTATGTTTGACAACTAGTTGGAGTGCAGTGTTTCGGGAACCACATCAAGTTTTTTTTCCTGTGTTTGAAGTGAATGCAACCAAAAAACTAGCTATGCTTGCACTTGAGCTCGCTATTTCATTCCTTTTATGCAAAAATTTACGCTGACTGAGTAAATGAAAATTACCTACCTAATTACATGCTAATTTACAATAATTACTCACACTCACAAAAACATTCATAATTATCCTTCTTAAAATGTAATACTGAGTGCCCTAGAATAACACCATGCAAATTTGACACATTTGCAGACAGTGGATCGTGATTTGCGCCCGATGGGGATAGCTCGAATGGAACAGATGTTATTTTCCCTCTAACTTGGCAAATGTGCTGAAATTGATGTTTTGAGAAAACGAGGAAAAAAAAAAACGTTTCAAAACACCTTTATTAAAAAAAATGCTAATAAAATCTTACGAAAATGCACCAAGGGCGTAATCTGGATGCATCCCATTCTTATGCTTCTTCTTGACCAGCCTTTTCAGATTTAAGGACGCTTCTTTCTATTTATTTGAGGTTGCACTATGACAACAGCCCTTCTCCCTAGCCCTCAGGGATGTGCTGCTGAATATTGTGATGTCCAGCTGCTCTAGCATTGCAGCAAATGCATTGGCCTTGCTCGTGTTGAAATGCAGCACAGCTTCTGGCAACGGCAGCTTGCACAGCAAAAAGAGAATCATGCTGCTCTTTTGATACCAAACTCTAAATCGCGGATCGGAGGCTTTCGTGTGAATTCCGAGTCTTGCCTTGCTGGCATCTTGCGTTGCTGCCACACCACTTGATTTCAAATAGCACTCAATTTTTCACGCTGTTGCCGACGCCGACGAAAGACCCTCAAGTGTCGTGGTTGTCTCGCGGGAGGGTGCGTTGCGAACTCTACTGGCATTGATCACAGCAGCGTCTACCCACGCATGGCTGTCAAGGAGGCCTGTGTCTACGCGCACTACACCATTGCCGATAGCATCGGCGCGGTCATAATTCATATAGCATCTGCTATATGGGGAAGCCGTCTCGCACATTCTTCTATTGATAAGATCTTCAGTACACAGGCGGCCAGCGGCCACGCCGCGCACACACGAGGAACAGTCTTCAGTTACGATGGCGTTATGAAGACGGTGTTATCAAACAATGTCGGCGCTTGCTCCCACGATGCAGTAGCAGCACCAATGGGCTTTCTGCCTTTCTTCCATGAACAGCGAAAATGATGCTGCGATCGGAACTTTTTCGCACCGCCGGGCATAGAAGACACACAAGCACGTTGGGGACACGAGTCACGACACCTTCGCAAGGGCGATACTCTCTTAAAATGGCGGCATACACTACCAGTGAGTTTTTCTCGCCAATCTGAAAGCGCCATTTTGGTCACATGCATCAAACAACCAATGGAGTCATGCGCTGCGCGTGATTTTGAGTTCGCTTTTTTTGCTTTTGCGAAGGGCGCATAGTTGTCTACTTGAAAAGGAAAAAAAAAAGCTAGAAATGCAACCTTTCCAATAAGACCAAGATGGCGCTGATCGAGTGTGTAGTTCTTGTGCTGTCGGCGATTGAAGTATGGATAGTTTACACTTACATGCAAATTTTCTCTTTTTATGGGCTATAGCTTGAAAAATGAGCGGAATTTCGAAGCCAAACTTTGCTGATAGGTGCGGAAGGGCATTTGGAATGCAAAAATGCTGAGAAAGAAAATGAGATTTTTGGGCTGATTTTCGACTTCCAAGTGCCGCGTCCCCCTTAGAGAAATCAGGGCAGCTATACACCAGCAATGCCAAATATAGATAGGATACGTGACCTGGCAGCGTCGAATAGTGACTGTAGCTGTAATATAATGTGTCCATTGCATTCACTGCAAGTTGCAGCTTTATGATGTGTTCTTCGCTTTGCATCTGTTGTGCAGCCTGCCTGTTGATGCATAAAAACTGAGTCTTATCACGACAGAAGGCAAAGAAAGGCAATTGTTTAGATGACAGTATTTCTCATGAGAGCGTTATCCATAGCCTAGGCAACATTCTTGCTTGCACCAGCTCGTTCTTATCACATTTAAGAAGCTCCTTTTTCCAATATTTTTTTACATTGTTGCGTTGATGGCATACATCATCAGGTTTTGTTTGAGTTCTGTGTGGCTTTGCTGCTCATTGCAAAACTACGGGCCTGTGCCTTTGTCCTAAGCACTTATCAGCATCTTTCAAAGCATGTCTATGTTCGTGATAACTACAGCGATTGAACTGGATTTTATGATGAAAAGCTTTGGTAGAAAGGTGCAGTAATACCTCGTTAATCTTTGCTTGAAGGGTGCAGTAATACCTCGTTAACTCTGAAGTTGTAAAAAGCGAGGAAAATTGGGAAATTGGTGAATATTGAGAAAAGCAGAGTTGCGCTAATCGCAGGGTGAAATTAGCGCTTTTCAGAAAAATCACTACTGCTTATCAGCTTTTCAGCAGCAGTTTCTAATCTTTCTCATCTCATGCAGGTTTAAAAGAGAAACGAAAATAACATACAAGAGACTTACAAGAAATAACATACAAGAGAATAAAAAAAAAAACTACGGATTTTTGGCAGCATCGCGCGAATCTTGCAAAAAGGTTAGGCGGCGGAATTTTAGTTTCACTGCCGGTCAAAGTTTTGAGATAAAGAGAAAAATCCACAACAGACGTATAGGAAAATGTTCGATGCCACGGAAAATTTCAACTTGGCCAATCTTTCGAGATATGAGAGTTCGAGGCTGTGTAAGACGTAACTGTCATAGCTCAAGTGTGCTGCTGCAATACTGTTGTGGTTTATTGAAAAAGCACTTCACTGTAGGTTTTTAAGGACAAATGGTTTTGCATTAAGAATTGTTCAAATAAATGTTTTGATCATAGCAAGCTGCCAAATAGATAAGCTGTTATGTTGCTGAGTTGAGGAAAAGTAAATTTTGGTGGAAATATTTTCACACAGATTTTGTTAAAAGGCAAATTCAGATGTTCGCTTTGAATGATATAGAATGGGGGGGGGGGGGCAGAAGTTGGGGTTCTCAATTGGTAGAAGAAGCACTAAAACAAAGCGATAAAAGGGACAATTGAAAAGGGAACACGAGCACTGTGTTGGAACACCATGTTTGTGTTCCCTTCTCGATCGTGTCTTTCACTCTGTTATAGTCTTCATCTACCGCGCAGCACCAACCAGCACTATCAAAGACACTTAAAGCTTCTAAATTGCAGGTGCTTATCGACCATGCTTTGCAAATGCAGCTTCATTTGTGTTAAAACAACACCTCCTCCCCTTTTGTGTGCATGTGTGCATTGTTCAGCTTTCTTTATTTTTATTTTTTTTCGCCGCTGTGCTGTGCTTTTGTGCGTGTACCCTTACATGTGTGATTCGCTCCCTACTCCCTCCCCACCACCACCTAGATGGCCCGTGGTCCAACCCCTTTACCCCCAAGATCAATACCCAAGGCACCTCCTGTACCCCCTCATCCTACACCTCCACAAGTAGGTAGCCTGTTGCTGATGATGAACTCGTCCGAGGGATGGTCACGGGCACTGACATTCTGGCAGTCACTTTTGTCTCTCTTCCATTCTAAGCTCATACGCAGAATCTGCTAGTGCGCTTCATTGTGCATCTTGTCTCACCTAACCACGGTACGAGAATACTTTAGGTGAGCGAACGCTGTGAAGCGATCGCTTGGCGGGGAGAGATTATGTTCTCGTTTGCGGCATGCCGATAGATTGCCCGCTGGACTGAGGACCATGGCGAACTGCTGGCGAATTTCGCAAAGCACATCCGGTACGTGGGTGACGGTTTTCAAATCAGGAAAACCGGGTTATCACGCCATAACCACGCGACACGCATACAGTGGTGCCGCGAAAGAGTGGTTGATAAGGGAGGAGGTTGACAGTGCAGCGAAGGTGTTGTGGCGACAATAAATGAGCGCTGCTACTTTCTTATGTATGGGGTTTTCCTACACTGTGAAGGAGGGGGAGACGGGGCAAAGTTGGTAGCGCCATCTCTCGGGCTACTTGCGAGCAGAACATTATCGGCCACCGCATAGTAGTCCCGGCGTTCGCTCACCTAAAGTATTCTTCTACAGGGCAACTAACAAAGATGGTACAGCTGTGTCTGTAGTCCTAAAATATTGTCATAATTTCCATCGTTATATGACCTCTGCAACGTGTGTCTTATGTCTCGAGGAGCTATTCTTTGAAGTTCCCATCTAATAGACATGATTGTTTTGGCAGAACACATTTAATTACTCGAGAAAGCGGCGAGCCACGTCGACGCATTGCACTTGTTCTGAGAATCTGGAGAAAATGCGTAGTTAAAACAATTAATACGTGACAAAGTCCGTCTTAGTATGCATTTCTGCAAGTGCCAGAAGCTTGTGAACTATGCAGGGATGTGTAGAGGTCCTGATGGGCACGCTAAACAGAAGGCCAAATCAAACTTGCTTCGAGAGCTAATCGCAAAATCTAAGTAAATTCACAGCTTCCAAGCCAATCAGTAGCAGCCAAAATGGGTGGTTCAAGAATAGCTCCCCTGCTGAGTTAATGTTGGGACAGCTAGTAGTTGCGCCGAAATCGGTGTTGCATGCATGGGCAAACTGCTTGGGGAATGTCTGTGCTGTCACTTTCAAAGAGCAACATCATGGCAGCAGTTCCCTTCGCCTCCACTCTTTCAGGCAGTGTGCTCGTCTCTGCAAGTGGAGCACAACTGTGCGCTTGAGCAATGCTAGTGCACTTTTGACTCGCCGTGAGGTGGTAATTGTAGTTGAGAGTCGTGTGCCGTACGGATTCCTTACTTCCATTTGTATCCGTTCTCTAAATCATCCACCACACGGAGAAGTGATCATGCTTGCACAGCTGTGTGATTTGCTATTGGAAAAGAGAGTGGAAAATAAGAATAAAAGGAATCCTTACAGAACACAAGCTTTGACTCATTGCTTGGCACATTGCATGTTAGTCTGGTGGACGGCTAGCGTTGTTTTTCAACCCTCTCTGTACATCGAATGCATAACCATAGAGACACATCTTTATGAGACTATGCGTGATGTATCAGTGTCCTTTGTGTGTGAGTTGCATCAGAATGCATGCGCTTGCATGTCTTAGGTTGCGGGAAGTTGACAGAAAAAGTGAGATTGGGTGTTAACAAAGTGCATTTTGTTATTCAGAAGATCAGAGGAATTTGTCTGAATTGATTGGAAATTTCTCATCACTTTCTCACTATGGCATCTTGATATAAAGTTTTTTGTCGAAAGCACTGTTTTGTTTACAAACTGTAGGCATCAATTCTTGCAAATGCTTTCTTTGTCAGTGCCATTAAAGCTTTAGAAAAAAAAATTCAAAAATCGGTACTCCTTGAAGTGTACTGCAACATCATAGCTTGGCCTCGGGTTATGTATAGTAGACTCTTGACGACACCTGAAGGGACCAGGAAAGTACATTCCATCTAACAGTAGCTTGTTTACCAAGAGATGAACAGGGGTGCAGAATTCAAGCACCCAGCCAATCATATTAGAAGCAGTTGTTTCATTGAAGCAGCAGTCTTAAGAAATTTACGTTTGCTGGGAGCCACATGCGCTTGTTGCTCTGTATTGCTAGCTTTTGGTTTTCATTTCATTTCATTTCATTTATTTACTCTCAAGGCCGAAGCATTACAGAGAGGAGCGGGTATACATCGTACAGAAAATCAGGAAATACAGCAAATCAAAATTATATGCGCACAATGGCAGTCTGAAAACCATAAAAGAAAAGAAAGACTGCGTGAGGTGAAGAAGAGGCAGGGTGGTTGTAACAACAATGTTCAACATGGTTGCGTCTTCGAATGACACGCGCACACAAAAAAACTAACAAGAGAAAACACAGCGTGACTTAAGTGGCGAATTTACGCGAAATGGTTAGAGAGGGCGTTTTTAAACAAAGTGAGGTCAGTGATAGCAGCGATAGGGGCGGGAAGGTTAGCATGGTTTGAGCTCTGCTTCGTTGCTCGAATGCACGCTATGTGACTGCTCCACCAGATGTACCCTGGAGCTGGCCAGCAGGTGTACCCGGGGGCCGTCACGCCACCGCAGGGCCAAGGAGGGCAACCTCCGCCTACGGCGAGCAAAGCCGGGCCGTACCCGCAGCAGCCCACCGTTCAGCGGGAAGCTCCTTACCCCAAGCGCCACCCGGACTTCATGAAGCCCCAGGAACCTTACCCGCCCGTACCACCGCACATGGGTGCGGGGCCCCCCTATGTGCCACCCCAGCCGGCACAACCACCGGCCTCGCAACAGTACCCAGGTGAGTGACTCCTGGCAGACGGGACGCGAGGATAGATTGACCGTGTTCTGCCAAGTTTCACTGCACTAATTTTCCCGCAAGGGTTGACTGTAGTAGCGATAATCAGAGGAAACGAGCTTGGGCTACTTTGAAACTATGTGGCTGCTTAGCTAGAGGACAAGAGCTTCATGCAAGTTTTCAGCTGTTGCATTCTGATGAAGGTGAAATGCTGAAAACACACCCCGAATGCTTGTGTTCAGATGCACATAAAACCTGAGAGTTTTTCCTGCTAATGTTTACGTGGAGGCTGGCTTTTTTATAGCGTCAAGAGTCATGGGCTTTCTTCAGCACAACAGGCAAGAACAAGAAAGAAAAGGCACTTCGTCTCTTGTCTTTCTCATAGCCGCCGCGATGGTACAGGGATCGCGGTGCTCGACTGCCGACCCAAAGGCTGCGGGATCGAACTCTGTTTGCAATAACTTCATTTCAGTGGAGGTGGAACGCTAGAGGCTCACTTGTTTTGATTAGTAGATTTTTGAAGAGCCCCAGATGGTCAAGATTTCTAGAGCTCTTTGTTGCAGTGTCATATTTTCGGTATTGTTATTATTATTGTGCATTTCTCTTGTTTCTCATCCTTTTCTCTCACCCTGTAGTCTTAATTTAATCTGTGTTATAAGCTTGCTGAAGGATCTTAGTGCCATCACTGTTATTCATTGAGGTGAGAGAAATCTAGTCCTGCAACAGGAGTCTGAACATGCACCTTCATAGGTGTTCCTTGGACTGAATTTCGGTAGAATGATATGCAACTGCAAGAGTCCACCGTCAATGCTGCCAGGATGAAACATAAGCAAGAGTACGAAATTGGCAAGTCGTTTGACAGCACAGGACTGTAGTGACTGTGTTAGGTGTGTGTACGTCGAGTGTTGTGAAGCTAGGCACATAGATTTCGTCTGTTCGTCCATGCCATTCCAATCAAAACATTCTAGCAAATGCTTGGAAACTTGAGCATCACCATAAAGCATGTTTTGCAGCCTTAATGTACACGTGCATATCTACTGCGCCATCGTTTTCTCCTTCACGGCCGTGGCCCGAATTTTCCCCGTTGGCATGGTCTTGCCGTGACTATTTGCTATGTGGTCACACTTTTATTTATTTTTTTAATGGCTGGTAATTGAGAACTGGTTTTGATTGTCACATCGTAGGCCACTGCCTTGAGACTAGAGAAAAAAAAAACGCTTTGCAACTGTATTCAGAAAAGGCACAAGGACCCTATGCTCTGTTTTATACATAACATAGCAGACAATGCTGCAAGAGCTGGTGCAAACACTCCAGAGCACTTGCACGTGTGATACATGGTCCCATATAATGCATGGAAGAAAAGTGACTAAACGTTGCCTAATCAATGTACAGTCGCCGACCAAAAAAAAGTCCGAAAAATTGAACAGTCTGAAAAGTTCGTTTTTGCCAGAAATATGAACTTTATTGCATCAGGCAGGCTTATAAAAGCCCACGATTCTGCCTTGCCTCATACTACACTTCGAAGCAATTTGGTTCACCCATATTTGCACCAAAGTGACATCTTCACCGAAAATGCTTGACAAAAGCGTCACCACGGTGGCGATCTCCGCTCTCCGGCTGCGGCACAACCTGGTGAAAAATTTCTTCGTCTGTGGGCTCCGCACACGAAATTGTCATCATCCCCACGAGCGAAGTCTTTAACTAGGGAGTTTTAGAATAACTGGGCGTTGTGGGTATAGCGGACGCATTACGAGTTCTAGAATAGCGTTTGCTCCCCCTAGGGAAAGGTCTAGGGACATTCACCCCGACGCAAACTCAAATGCACAGAAGCTAGACACAACACTTCGCGGGCCGCAATCGCCGCACGCAATTTCGGATTTTCTGCGGGCAGGCCGCGAACGGTGACTCGCGTTACGATGCATGCGCAGTGGCAGCGACCGCACCGCGAGCCCTTGCTGTGCGCTATTCTAAAACTCCCTAATGCTATTGTGGCAGGCACATTCACTCCACTACGGCGCAGCTCCGCCTCCTCCCTGTATGGTGCGATGACAACAGGGCTGACCACTACGGCTGACCGAAGACAAGAAAATGGCCCCGTGCCGCGTTTTCTAAGGCAGACACTGCCTCCGAAACAATAAATATGATGTTTGCTTTCCAATCTTGGAGGCAGGAAAGCCATTTTAAAATTAAGCTACTAAGCTTAGTCAAGCCGGCAGAAAATCCAACATGGCGTCGTCCATACAGGTTCGTGGCGTGGCTCAAAACAAGCGATTTAGTCCGAAAAATTCAACTTTAGGGGGCGAATTTGTTCGAAAAATCGGTCAAAAACATGCATTAGCCCTATGGGAACCCTGACGGTGCACTACTTAAAGTTTAAGGTATCCAACAAGTTTGAATTTTGGGAGTCCAAAAAAATCGGTCGGCGACTGTATCATTATTGAACACACGTGTGATTCGGTGTGAACTGAACTGTCACAGGTGCTCAAATCTCTTTCGGTTGCTTTTAGGCACTTCTCACGACTTCGCCACTTGCGTTACTGTTGGAGCATTGTCAGGCAAGTGTTAAACGGAGCATAGTTCCTCATAACCTCTCATGAGATGCCTGAGTAAGCTTCACAGGGGCTGAGAGGTCATGCCCTTTTCTCTTTCAGTCTAGAGACCTCACTATGGTTGTCTTTGACTTTGCACAGACCGCAGCCAGTACCCTTACCGGCCGCCTCACATGATGACGCCACCCCCTTCTTCTATGCCGCAGCAAGGTGAGAGATATACTGCAGTACAATACAAATGCTGCCATTCGATCTCTGCCCTGCTAAATTTTAATTGCCAGTCTTGACTTAATTAAGGTGCCTAATAATAATGAAAAATGTGCTTCCACAGACAGAAATCCCTGCACAGGGTGACTGTTTGCTCTCAATTGGGCTTGGTGGGACAGTCTTCAGCCTTTATTTGATCTTGAGTGCATGCATCTCATGCTAAACAGCATTTTCTGTAGTAGAACGGGTAGCTGGGTGAGTTGGTATGTATCCATGATGATGTAAATTTTTTAGCGCGTACAGAAACAGCAGGACAAGAAAGTGACATGTATTTTTGCCTGTCACATGACTTGCACATGTGCTGAACTGGTTTCCAGGTCCTTGTAAGTTTTCTTCCTTTAAAAAATAAATTAGTTGCGAGTTAGTGCTTGTCTGTCTCTCTCCTGTCCTATTTTTTCTAAGTGCGCTAAAATGTTATATATCATGGGCATTTTCTGGCTGTTTTGTATAAGCAGTTTACGGAATGCAGTGTGTTCCAGCACTGGCAGACCATCAAGCGCTATGTGCAATCACTAGATTTTTCTAACTGGCTTCATAAGTGCTTGCTTTTATATATATATATATATATATATATATATATATATATATATATATATATATATATATATATATATATATATATATATATATATATATTGATCTTCCCAACGAGCTCTTCATGTGCTGGGAGTCTCGAAGTGACAGTCACACATGAAAACCGCTTGGAAGGACTTCATAATGATGTGGATACTCTAGTTGAATTGGTCTAAGTTGAGCATCTCCTTCCCCACATTTTGGTTTTGTTCACCTTTAACACGGTGAACATCACTGGCTTGAGGTTGTTGTATCTTCAGCTATGTGCTTCACTAAGCTTGCACATCCTTGGATGTTGCTGCCACGTTAGGTGCCCACTACGTTGTGGCACGTCTTAGGCACAGATGCAGGGAAGCGTCTTATCTCAAGGACATGTATTTTCTGTACCGCTCAATGTCATATGATTATTCAGTGATCAGCGTGCCTGTGGTTAATAATCACACGTTGTTTCATTGTGTTTGTCCAGGCTGGGGACGTGGAGGAGCTGAGAGCCAATACCGCGGTTACCCAAGTAACGCCTACCCCCCCCACTCGGGGGCCCCCCCTGAGCGATGGGAGGGGCCCCGAATCGGTGATGGAGCACCCCCTACGGGGGCATGGGGAATGTCAAGGGGAGCACCGCCAGCACAGGGGGAACCCTACCCACTACAGGGTCCCATGATTGGCGCAGGGGGACCCCAGGTGAATGCCATGGGGCACCACAAGATGGCCGCTGCCTACGCTAGGGATCGGGCGTACCCGCCTGCCGGAAAAATGCCGGTGCGTGCTCTCAGCTGTGTCATAAAGCCCTTGAATGTGCTGTTGCAAGCGTCCATCTCCGGAAATGCAAGGTTGCAAGGTTGCCACTGTGGAGTGAGAGGCGCAACATATGGGTTGTATTAGGACTGAGATTTATTTCTAGTGATTGCAAAATTCTTACTTACATTATTGTAATCTCTCAAGATTTAATTGGCTAGCACATTTGCTTCTGTGCTTGTGACATTCCTCTGCGAATGTGATGGACTGCTGCTTTAAATTTATAAGCTTCTGCTTTAGTTGTCGATGCCTGTTGTATGTTTTACCATAGCAGATGTTATGACTAGCAATCGATGTTGCAAAACGGTAGTTTTGTAATTATGAGACAAAGGGTCTTTGTAAAGGGAGACAGTGAAGTGGCTGTACGTTTACCATAGCAGATGTTATGATTAGCAATCGATGTTACAAAACGGTAGTTTTGTAATTATGAGACAAAGGGTCTTTGTAAAGGGAGACAGTGAAGTGGCTGTACGGTAAGATGTTCAGCAAGAAACGTCAATAAATTTTGGTGCTTGGTGAGGCTTTTGCAAGTACAACAGTTCCAAACATCCAATTTGTCCAGAAAGCTTTTGTGCTGATATGTGATGACACAATCGCTCCAGTTATATACCCTGCAGCGGTGGTGTGTCCAATTGTACCCATCAAATTCGGAGAAATGTCTCGCACAGCACGTTTTTTCAATTGACTTTTAACTCCGTGTGCGCATTCATGCAGGCTTCCTGAGTTGACAAACAGCGTTTGCCTAAATTCATTGTGCTGGATATTGATGAAAGTGGTCACATTGCTGGCACCAATACATTGTTTGATGATTGTTCAATGGGGTGCGTTTCACATCCAACATAAAGAGGTTTTTTCCTCTGTTCCACATGAGTAAACCAAAAATCGGGCTGAGCATGCATTTTCGGGCTAACATTACATTTTTTATACGAGGATTGAAGGTGACTAATTACAAAGTAATTAGATATTTAATTACTAGCTAAGTACTTTCAGAAAACAACTTTCTTCATTTTCTTTGTTGAAATGTAATATTGAGTGCCTTGGAATCATGTAATGCAAATTTGATGCATTTCCAGACAAGGAACCATAATTAGGGCCTGTAGGGTACATATAGGATGCTGGCATGAAGTCCAAAGAGCGTACTACCTGAAACCTACCTCACATTGCAGTGGGGCAAGTACTCTTACAAACACGTTAGGGAGTTGAGTACATTATGACTGGTAGGCTAGAAGATTTCTTCCTCATTCAGTGGTGTTCAAGTACACCTGCAGGATTTCATAACTGCAGAAAGTAAGTTATTTTGTCGAAGCAGCTGACTGGCTTCTTTCTTGCCTGCAGCCGGGTGGCCCCTATGGGCCAGCGCCACCCTCTCGAAAGGAGGTGGTGTTTCCTCCGGACAGCGTGGAGGCGGTGACGCCTGTGGCGACCAAGCGCCGGCGGCTCTATGCCAAGGACGTCAGCCCCCTGGAGGCGTGGCGCCTCATGATGTGCCTCAAGTCGGGCCTGCTAGCCGAGAGCACCTGGGCCCTGGACGTGCTGTCCGTGCTGCTGTACGACGACTCGACTGTGCTCTACTTTGGCTTGTCACACCTGCCGGGCCTGCTAGAGACTCTGATGGAGCACTTTCGACGATGCCTTTCTTTAGTCTTCAACACCCCCGACGACCTCGAGCTGGGCTTCGAGTCCAAGGCAGAAAAGGAGGAGGTGCCCGAACCAGGGCGACCTTGGTACCTGCTGGACCAAGATGCCCCAGCGAAAGATCCGCTTGAGGGCCTCATTGTACCGACTCAGATCGATATTTGTGACCGCACGTCTGTGTTGTCGGGCCCCAGTTTTACTTGGCGGACACGGTGTGGCAAGGCTGTGCGTACCCGCCCCGATGATGACGGTTCTCTACACGTGGTCGACGGGGAGAAACGGTGGGATGTGCACGAGGGCTTTACCGCCTCACCGGAGCACTGGCAGCTAGGGGGCGGTGAGATCACGGCACACATTCAGACATGTTTTGAGAGCGACACGAACAATGTGCGTTTTGTGCGGCTGTTGACTCCGTCGAAGAAGAACGTCGAACGCAAAGTCAGTGCCTCGCCACACAAGGTGGTGACAACATCGGCAACGCCACCAGTGAGCCAGGAGGAATCCCGCTCCAAGCTGTCAGACCTGCTTGCCAAGCAGAAGGCGGCCAACTGCAAGCGAGAACCCGTGGTCTTGATTGAGGACATCCGATCCAAAATAAAACTGGAAGCTGGCAGGGTGGACCACATCAAGCAGGAAGTAAAGGAGGAACAGAATTCGAATGACAGGAAGCGACAGGAGGAAGAAGAGCAGGCTTCCAAAAAAGTGGCTGAGGAAAGTAGAGCAGAGCCAGAAGTTGTCCTGGAGAGTGAGACCAACAAGCAAGAGGAAAAGACGACGGTAACCTCAACACCCAACACTGAGAGTGAGAAGGAAGAGGAGGTGGTGCCTAGTAAAGAGGGTGATGATAGTGTGTGTCGGACCGAGGAGAAGGTGTTCCCGCGGCTTCGGGAGGATCGGCCACGAAAGCGGCCTCTTCCAGAATCCACGGAGGAGGAAGCGTACTGTCGCGATGAACCTTCACTGTGTGTGGTGTCCGAGGCCCAGGAGGCCTTGGGGCGCCGCTGTGTGTGTATCTCGACACTGTTGCGCAACCTGTCATTTGTGCCCGGGAACGATGCCGAGATGTCCAAGCATGCGGGTCTTTTGGTGGTGCTAGGGCGCCTGCTGTTACTACGGCACTGGCATGCCCCCCGGCGGGGTGCACCGCGCCAGTTCGACCAGGAGGAGAGCGCCCTAGACGACCACTGCAGTTCGCTGCTAGCAGAGCGTGAGTGGTGGTGGGACTGGCTGCAGGCTCTGCGCGAGAACACCCTCGTGTGCCTGGCCAACATGGCGGGGCAGCTTGCCCTGGCACCATTTCCCGAGGAGATATCCTTGCCCCTGCTCGACGGATTGCTTCATTGGGCGACGTGTGGATCGGCATGTGCGCGAGATCCTTTGCCTCATAGTACCCTCAGTCCCCAGCGGCTCGCCCTGGAAGCCCTGTGCAAGCTGTCTGTGCAAGAGTCCAACGTAGACCTGCTTCTGGCCACGCCTCCTTGGAGTCGGACCGAGGCCCTTCTTGGACAGCTGGCCCGATGGCTGGGCCGCGGACAGGACCAGGTGCTTCGTGAGCTAGCTCTGGTGCTGCTTTCAAACGTGGCACCAGCAGGGAGTGGTGCAGCCCGCGCGGTGGCGCTACAGGGACCGTGCCTCGCCCATCTGTTGGCATTTGTTGAGCAGGCCGAGCAGAGTGCTCTGCAGGTGGCCAACGCCCAGGGAGTGGCGGCCCTACGTGAAAACCCCGAGCTGATGGGCACCACTCTGGACATGGTGCGGCGCGCAGCCGCAACTCTGCGCTGCCTAGCCAGGGTGCCCGACAATCGGCCCCTGTTCTTGCAGCTGCAGCCCCGCCTTCTCACCCTGGTCATGTCCCAGATCCTAGACCAGGGCGTTGCGGCCATCCTGGCTGACGTGCTCTTTGAGTGCTCGCAGCAGGCCTCCCCTTCCCCCTCGTCCCAGTCTGTCCCCTCCTAGGATATGACCTCCCCTATACACCCAGCTATTTATTATTGTTTCAATGACTCCCCCCTCCCCCTCCTGCTGTAGATAGGCCCCCAATGGGTTATGATGACCCTCCCTCCCCTCGTGGACTGTTGTGGGCCAGAGGGGAGCAAACCCTTCTCCCATCGTGGTGATAAACTTGTACAGACACGCTGCTCCCTCTCTCGCCCAAACTCCTCACTGCTGCCGGCGTAGCACGCACACACCTCTCCCCAGGGAAAGGGTGGGGGGGCAGCCGCTCATTTCAAGAAGAAACGAGGAGGGTGGCAGTGACTGGTGGACCCCCTCGCCCCGAACGGACAGACGTACAAACGGACTGGCTCGTGTCGATCTGAAAAATTATGTGTGCATGCGTGTGTGTTTAGGGTCTCTTTTTTTTGTTTTGCGAGTGCAGCAAGCAACATCATCCGTTCGTTTTTTTTTTTTTTTGTAAGTTTTCTCTCTCGTCATTTGATATTGTATGAAATGCGTGCGTGTAAGTGTGTGTGCGTGTGCCGAGCTTTATACCTTGTACATGTCTGACAAAATGAGTGAGCTGCAAATAATATGTACAGGTAAGAATTCTCTTTTCCCCCTTGAAGAAAACTGATCCCTCGGGGTTCATGGCACTTGTTCTGAAGAGGAAAAAAAAAAAAAGAAAGTGGCGGCTGTAATAAATTTTTTTAAAGCAATTTTTTCTTGCGGTATAGGTTGGTGCTTGGCATTTGAACAGTCCTTTTTTTTATCGTTTTTCAATTTTTTAAATAGTTATGTCGCCCGGTAAATCAATTCCTACTGTTTACTTGCGAAGCGTTGTTTACTAGTCAAACAAATCATTGCCACAAAGCTAGAAATAATAAGTTTTTTTTTTCCTTCAGTTGACGTGGGGGAGGAAACTTCTTGACTTGTTTTAGGGCTCCTCCTGTGCTTAAAAAACTTTTTGCTCTCTAGGAGAGTCTGCCATAGTTCTTGCATTTGGAGGTTCCAGCAGGGGAAGTGTTGTTATCAAATAAACATTCTTCAGTCTTGCTTGTTGTCTTTTTTTTAAATTCATTCTGCCAATCCAACATCTGTTGTTGTGCCCTCCTTTCATACGTCTTTTTTTTTTTCTCTCTCTCTCTTAATGTTCACTCGATCTTGTCTCCATTCATTCCTAGAGTGCCGCACACGGTGGCAAGAACAAAAGCACAATGGTACTTACGCCAAAAATCCAAAGTGAGGAGATGGCCACAGGACTTTTCACTTTTTTTTTTCTTAAAGTAAAAAAAAAAAAAACATTCTTCTGCGAGATGCGAGAAACTGGCAGGGGCTGAAAGGACAGCTTTGTCTGCAATGCAGAGCTTTTGTACTTCTGTGTCCAGAGTATTCCAGGGCTTGGTCAAGTTTTTCTTTTTGTGGGGATGAAGTTGTACAAAATGTATGGAACACATTGTAAAATAAAAACGACTTCAAAAATGTGCTCAAAGTCCCAGTCTTTACTTGGTGTCCTTGTCGAGGCGCACATTTTTTATAACTGGCGGCCTCATCGTGGAACTTGTGTATAGAGGGCTTGTTGGCACTGGCTGACTTGAGATGTAGCGAAATAGTGCGCAAATAGACGATAAACAGACAGTCCGTTTGCCTGGATAGTCTTTCTGTGCACCATTTCAAAGTGTGTAAAGTCAAACTACAGCCTCCTACTAAATTCCTTGACCCACCATGGAGATGACTTGAAATGAATGAATTTGTGAATGTACAATGACATTCAGTGCTACCCTTCATATATTAGCCTAAACTTATATGGCAGTTCATTCGCTGCTGTTGTGTAGCTGCTACAAAAATGCTACACTTTTCCCTATTTTTTGTACGCCACATGATCGACGTTGAGGTAAATTCATGTAAGGATTATTGCCCTACTGGCAAACTTGCAACAGGTTCAGATACAGGCAAACCTGCGACTAGTTGAAAACCTTAGTATCAGAGTTTCCACTGTGAATGTTTGTAGGAAGTTTCGGGGTTGGAGGATTGGAAGTTAATTGCATTGGCAGGAAATCTTTGATTGTTGAATGGGGGCAAGTGTGCTGCAGGCCGTAGGCCTGTCATGACTGATGGTTGTTAAGGTTTCATTTGTCAGGTTTCATTCAGTTCTTGCTGGTTGACTTGTATTAATTTGACTTTTTGTCTAATTTGAGTGCACTGCACTGTCGTATAAATACTTCGGAAAGATTACGAAGCAAAGCTTTCAGCTTAAAAACGCACTGCTTTAAACGAGTTGACATTCAGCAGCCCTTTTTAAAAATGAACCGAAAGAAAAATTTGTCTAATTGCTTCTTGAAAAATTTTCATAGCCAGGCTATCGAGTTCTTGGTAACTGACTGACATTTATGGCAGTGTGGGAAGGAATGGGTGGGTGCTTCGGAGCTCTTCACTGTCGTGAAGCTGAAATTAAGTTGTGAGAATACCATGCATATCAGACAAAATATTTTTGTGTTTATTTTGCATTGATGAGTAGAGTCTGCTGTGGAATGGCATATGGATATGAACCAGTTCACTCATTCTTGGTGCTATAACTTCAGAACAATGCTTGTGCTATTACGTACAGTTAATTCCCTGTTGAATGTGGTAGAACATTCTTTGTCATTTTCGTGGCATTGCTGCAAAATAAGCTTGCTAGCAGTTCGTTTTTTTTGTGTGTGTGTGATACTTCTAGAAAGAGACGAAAATTCTGGTGGGTAAATCTTGCCTTTCTCGCATTAGGTCACAAAGAACGACCAACAGCCGTGCTGTTAAAAAGTGCACTGACACAAAAATGGCTTTTTTTTTTTTACTCGGTTATCGCTGCTATAAACCTAGTTTGTGCAAGTGTGTGACAGTTATTTAGAGTAGAGCTGTGGGATTAGCAAAATTTTGGGTGCGAAGTGAGTTCGAGTAAAAACCGAATATTTATTCTGATATATATTGTACATTTCTAGAATATTCTATAAATACCTTAAAGAAAATTTGAGAGGATTCTTAAGCTTATTATGGGATAGCAACGAGAAACTGTTTCTTTTGGCTACATTAATGAAGCCTTGGATGGGTAATGTATGTACATCATTTGGTCTAACCAAAGTGTTGCCAAACAACACTTAACGTGTAAGGCGACAAATGCAATTTCATCGGCCTCTTCTCATTGAAACTCCCGTGGAAGCCCAGCTGATGTGACGACCAAATGTGCCCCCTTCTAGTGCAGTGTTCTAAATCTGCCTCTTGGACATCAATACATAAGAACATCTAAAATTTTGAACGCTAATGACCTTCGGCGTCCGATTTTTTGGACTATCTACCCAAATTTCGGGTCTGCATCGAAGGGGCAGTGGCTCATGTCAATTTTTCGATCATAAGCGGTGTTATGTGGGCTAATCATTACTTGGGCTTTACATTATCCCAAAGTTTATCGCATTTGGTTGAGTATACTTTTTTATAACTGAATATTTTTCATAAGCGCGGGAGGGGCCTAAAAATGGCGCGAGCTAGCCAGGCGTGATGCCACCTGTGTCGGCATTCCGGTGAACGATATTGCTTCTAGGCCAGCTTCGCGTAAAATGTTTTAGCTTCAGCTTGGATCTGAAATTGAACTATTTAGGGCGGCTGAAACTTTGGTAGACGACAACGGCTTTGCTTCATGCGGCGTATGACGTCACTGACTCCATGGCAAAACGGTTGTCGCTGGTGGTGGTTTGGGGCTTAAAGCTGGCAACTTCATGATCCAAGAGCCAGGCAACTTAAGAGACGTGGTCCAGCACGTGCTTGGCATCCTGGAACGCCAGCTGCCTGAAGTGTCGCCTCCACCGGTTTGACGCTAGTAGGTTGCTGCTCCGAGACGTCCGAGCACGCAAGTCTTGCTCCGATTCCCCTACCATCTTCAGACTTGATGGGGGATCAACAATAAAATTGTTTGACTCATTCACTAGGGCTTGTTTTGTCCTGAAATATACTCACGAGAGACCGCTTTTCGTAATGGAACGGGAGAGTAGACTCTCTACCTACATATTTCGCTGAAAATATTGTTGCGTGATGGTGACTGACCCTGTCATGGCCCTCACCTCTGCCTCATCTATAGTTTCCCTCTTGAAACCAGCGGAAAAGCTGAAGGGCAGCTTTTCCGCAATACGAGAATGTGATTGGGCGAAGCATATTAAAAGCAACTGTACTATATGCATGGCCGGGGCGAAGCTTATTAAAGCAGTCATAATTAAAAGCAACTGGACTATGCATGGCCGTAACATTTTCTCAATTTGAAAGGACTGTATACAGTCGCCTCTCTAACCATCGTCATCCTTTACTCTTTTTAGATGTGAAGTAGTCTATGCTCGGGGCTGTGTCCGTCCGCCGGCGACTTTCCGCCTCCTCGTGAGGAGGTGAGAAAAGGTGGCAGACGCTGCGCCGTGCTCCCTAACGGTCTGCAGAAATTGGGCGTCTTTCCTCTCATCTAATCACTACCACCACCCCTCTCCCGTCAATCTCTCCCCCACAGCTGTGCCCTCATAATAATGCGTGTGCTCGCACCGTTGCACACTCTTAGCAGTGCTGGTCGTTCACTTTGTGTGCGGCACACAACACACAAATGGGAGGGGGGTAACATGAACGGTACACAACATTTACACACCTCCATACACAAATGAAACATATACGAAAACATACAAATGGAAACACAAGTGAACACCAGCGCTTCTTCGCATCCCCATCTGATACCCTTTAATGGGAAATGGAGTATTTCCTTCGCTTTCCCATCCCCCGCTGTAGAGCAGGCTAGGGCATGCTGTCGCTCTGGCTGACCAGTCTGTGTAGGGGCCACTGCCGACCAGGCGTTGACTATTTGTCTTTGGAAAGTTCGAATAGTGAAATCCCGGTTCAAGTTGAATCCAATAGCAAACACCATTCGAAAAACATGAAAAAATATTCTAAATTTTGAATATTCGTACGCCCCTAAATTTATAGAAATTTTTACAGCGCCCAGTCACTGTTTCTGTTGCAAAGAGCACTAAGCAAGGCAGGAGCAGTTCCGATGGCTGGGTAAACGCAGCTGACTACGTAACCACGTAAAACTGTGACGTGAGTGCCGCGTGTGAACGGGCTCTGCGCTGCCCAGCCAACACCGACTCGTGCCGTAGACAGTAAGACGGTAAGTTGGGCCAGTTCATTAGGATCCATCGTGAACTTATTTACAGCGCAACACCAAAAAACGCGGGACAGGAAAGGAGCGCCGTCTTTCTCTTTTGCTCCTTCCCCCTCCTGTGTTTTCTGGTGTTGCTCTGTAAATAAGTTCTCGTGCCGTAGGCTTGTTTACGTTGACAGAGCGTTGATGTCGACGTCGGGAGATGCACCGCATCTTGCGGTTCTAGGCCAGCTGTCCGCCACCTGTGACTCAGTCGGTGTAATGCGGACCCCGTCCATCTCCGAACTCTCCCCGCTCCCCTTGTCACCACTCAGCACCAGTGCAGTTCTCATCTAACGATTATACTACACTTCCCTGGCCTATCCCCCTGGGTGAGCATGTGGTAAAGTGCAAGGATACAAACAAATCATGATGATGATGATATCCTCTTGCTTATGGTGCTCGCCCAAGAAGGGAAATGGCCCAAGAACTGGGCTGATGAAACCAAGAAACAAACACTGAAATGTTTGTTTAAAAGAAAATATAGCTAGTAAATGAAAACTTCATAGAGCAAACATTTGTACTATCAGGTAGGATGTTTATTGAATTTAACAGCGGTTTCTAACGTAATGACGTGAATTCTTGTCCCCAATGGAATAAGAAGAAAAAGCAAGGAAACACATTTGTTAAAAGAACAACATCCCTATCTAAACGTATTCGGAAACAATTTTCTTTCAAAGCTAAGGTACCGCCCCTTTCATGGCCGATCCCCCGTGGTGGGTCGCGCCAGGCATCGAAGAGCCAACCAATCAACCAAACGTGTGCGCAACCGCGGTGCGTTGTGCCAGGACTCTAAGGAACAACCAACCATCCGTATTCGATACCCTCCCCGGCGTACCAACGTGGTCCGCGGAGAAGGCGACCTCAGAGCAACCGTCGAGGTCTCTTACCACCACCTACCAGAACAGCTTGGTACTGGCCTCCTCTCAGAACTGCCTACGCAGTGTTTAGCGAGCCGGCGCCCCCCGTCGCGAGGCCCTTTGCAAACATGGCCATGAACCCGATCATTGCGAGCGAGTCCTACGTCTCGACGCGAAGCGGGAACACGGGACTGCTGCAAAAGCTATGCACGTGCAAGTGCTTATCCACCATGTCGTTTTTCGTCTCTTCGATTACCATGTGCTCGATCTTGGTCCTGAGCGTCCTGCTGTACGTCTACTCGGTGCTTGCTGAAGACAGCAAGGTCAGTGCCTTGTCGATCGCCGTTACTCACCACATGGTAAACAACACGTCATCTGCGGGAGATTATGCCACCGCATCGATAGGATGACAGCCACACGACG